TTCCTTGGAATTCTTGGTTTTCTTGGTTTCCCTGGTTTCTTTGGTTTCCTTGTTTTCTTGGTTTCCTTGTTTTCTTGGTTTCCTTGGAATCCTTGGTTTCCCTGGTTTCCTTGTTTTCATTGGTTTCCTAGGTTTCCTTGGTTGCCTTGGTTTCCTTGATTTCCGTGGATTCCTTGGGTTTCTTGGTTTTCTCAAGTTTCCTCGGTTACAAATTAGATAACATTACGCGTAATGTTTAAGTGACCCTCCATCTATAGTGGCATAAACGATTCATCTTTTGTCTAAAAGGGGTGAATGAGATATCATAATTTTTCTCTATTAAAAATGGATAATGTAAATTGATCTTAAGTCCCTTTAAATAGTGCATTTGCAAAATTTCCGGGTTTTGGTGAAAGTTTGCAAATATAAAGTCCAAGTCTGCACTCTAAACTTGAATTTTGCAAAAATATTTAGTTCATTATTTTGAGATTAAATTGGGCATATTTAGAGATGTCAGTGTGATGATAGATAGATTTAAGTCACAAAAGCTGTGTGTGCGTGAGTATATAATGTAAAAACAACAGAGTTGTGCAAAGTTTTGAGATAAAACTTTGTAAATGTTTTGTTCTATATAAAGATATGTGTTTCATCTTAAGTCTGAAATTACTACCCTGTATTTAGGGGATGGCTTAATTCCGACTATTATCTCTACTCCAGATTTCTCTCCCACTAAATTGTCTGGTTTTCATCAATCCCCGCCTATGGTCTATAATTTTGACGAACCTGCATCATGAAACTCAATCTTTGCTCTCCTTCCTATAGCCTGGAGCAAGGACGAATGCAGAGTTATTATCCCCGTGTTGGATTCCTCTCCTGTCAGTTGGTCCTGTCAAAAATGATTGTCAAAAACAATCGTTTGTCTCGATAGTGTAAACCCAACAAAGACGCTTTTCCAAATCGTCCTTTATTTACGAAGCATTCATCAGTAAATCTTCTAGTCAAGTAACACATTGCAACCATTAAACATCATAAATATTTACACCACTCTTATTATCTTAGTTCTAATTGTTAAAAGATAGAAGATATAGGATCTGAATTCTCGCTTCATACCTAATATTTGAAATTCTTATATCTTTGTAACCTGATGTTGTAGATCTTTGATAAAAAACTTTCAATAATTTTAGATCAGTCACATTGTGACATATCAAAGGCTTACACTATTAGGTTGGTAAGCAACAGGTATTTTAGGGGCGGTGCGGTTATAGGAATTTATTCAGCAATTTTTCTTCATTTTCCTTGACTCCCACCAATGCTTCAGAGTGGAGCAATTTTCCACAGAATTAGAAACTACTCCAAGACTCACCCCTTTATCCGCCCCTGAGGAAATTAGAGTTTGTGACGAGCAATCAGTTACTGTATGTGTCAGAATAGATGAACTCGAAATGGTTTAGTTTTGTAATATTTCCGCATTTTAAAGGATAGACTTTTTCATTCATTTACTGCAGCATCAAAGATTTTAATGCAGTTAATGTTTACTAGACCACCCTGTACATTTTACAATGCATTTTCCGAATAAATTGTCAAAAATACTATTTTCAGCCGCATTATGAAGAACAGAGCTTCTTCTCCGTCTTTGCAGTTTTTTTCCCTGCTGTTACAGGGATAGTTGCTGGAGCTAATCTATCAGGTCAGTTCTTAGTTTTCTATGTCTCAAGATAGGTCAGATCTTAGTTTTCTATGTTTCAAGATTGGTCAGACCCTTAGTTTTCTATGTTTCAAGATAGGTCAGATCTCTGTTTTCTATGTTTTAAGATAGGTCAGATCTTAGTTTTCTATGTTTCAACTTTCAAGATAGGTCAGATCTTAGTTTTCTTGGTTTCAAGATAGGTCAGATCTTAGTTTTCTATGTGTCAAGATATTCAGAATGGTAATGCTACTGAACTAATTAACTAATGCTACTAACTCTCGGATCTACTACAGCTGTTCATTTGGTATTGTTTGAAGATCAAGTTAGGATAAGATAACTTCTGAGTCGAGTGCTGAAGCTAGGACATGCTAGGGGGCCGAGCGCCGTGGCTAGAACAGGCTAGTGGGCCGGACGCGTCCATCTAAAACCTAGTGCTAGTAGGTCACAAGTTGAGTATAGCGGATATGCGTAGGTCGAAAGATACACCAGAGCTGGGAACTTTAGAATGGTGGATACCAAGATCAATGCTTGATCCTCTCTTTATCTTAATCTCGAGACTAACCTAATCTTGTTCTTGTATCCTGAAAAGTGTATAAAATTCAACCAATCAGAGTCGCGTATCTGAAGCCGGGAAATTTGAAATTTTGCGTGCCATTTAAAATTAATATACATTAGTGGGAGGGACTTCCTAATTTTAAAAAAACCGGTTTTGATTTTTCTCTACTATATCCCAAAAAGAGTGGATTACCACATTGGATATCCGGATTAAGCAGTCGGGATTAAAGGTATCCCATTCTAAAGTTCTCAGCTCAGCATTCAGAATATAATCTTGGAAATATCAACGCTATGAATAAACATTGAGAAGACTTCTTGTAGAGAAATATTAATAAGATTAAAAGAAAGAATCAGGGGGGGTTACGGGGGCTCAGCCCCCCTGGACGAGTAAAATATATGGATTGAAGGGAGTTTTTAGGCCCAACGGTTTTTGGGCCCCCCCCCCCCCCCTCTTGGAATAACAAAATTTAAGCTCCCTCGTCTGGACAATTCCTGACTATGCCCCTGTATAATATATATAAGGAAGTAATACAACTCTAATCGTAAAATTATATTTAGAAGTTTTACAACTGAGAAATAAAATATTTATGTAAATATGTAGAGTTTATAGGAATTGATTCTTTGCCACAAACTCTGATTCGCTAATCCCAATATCGTTGCAACCAAATGTTGTAAACCTTAAATATTTCAAACTATGATCTGAGTAAGATCAAATAATCTAAATTTGAAATAGGGATCTATGGATAGACAATTTAAGTTTGTGGCAAAGAATCAATTCCTTTATGTTTGGATATAAGATCATAAGATCAACCTAGGTTATTATTTGAAGGTGATATATGTTAATTGTTAATAAATAATAAATGTATATATAATGTTGATTGCTAATTATTAGGAGATTTGAAGGATCCTGCAACAGCTATACCTAAGGGCACCCTGCTGGCTATTGGTACAACCTATCTGACGTATATCCTGTATGGCGTGGTGGTAGCATTTACCTACTCCCCCTACGGTAGTGGAGTAGCAGAGGAGTATAGTATCTGGACTAATGATTCTATTCCACTAGAAGAGAAAATGTTGGTAAGTTCATTTTTTAACAAGGGGGTCATAATTTATACATCGTCTTATTTCATTATATTCAAAGAGTTTCAGGTCATCATGAAAGTATCATCCTTTTTGGGTAAACCTCATGGTTTTTTTTCTAATACTCTTTTTAAACTTATGAAATAGAACTAATAATAGTTCTAATATATTCAGTCAATTCTTTGTCACTGGCTAAGTTCGCAAGAAAAAGATCTAGTAAGGTTATCGTGTTCAAAATTTTCTCTATATTTAAACGGAATTAATAAATAAGAAAAGTAGTTGAGCTCAAGAATAAATGGAGTTAAACCAATTTTTTTAAACTGCATATTGAACCTCACTAGAAGATTAGACCATCGTCAACTAACTATTCGATAAATCGGAGACCTCTGTCTATCGAGTCTGTCTATATAGTAAACAATAAAGCTCTTCCCTCTTATAAAAAATATTATATTTAATTTAGAGCTGGCCAAACGGGTGACACAAACTGGCTCCCCCAGCCAGTTTTTATTAGAACAATCTGTTTATTGTTCCTAAATCCCTGTCCTAATCCTTTAATTTTGTTCCTAAAATTTAAAAATCTAGTTTTTTAGTCTTTAGTCATTAATTTTGACTATTTTTGAGTCTTTTAAGTCCAAAATAAATTTCGTCTGCGGCACGATTTTTTGTTCCTAATTATTCATTTTTTGTCCCTAAAAAATCTTGACCCCCCCCCCTCACTTAAATCCTGTATCCGCTCCTGGCTAGTCTGCATATAATAAAACATGAGGGGGGGGGGGGGGGGTATGAATCCCCGAGTAGGAAATTAATTAGTTAAATGATATTTGAAATTTTTTGTTTCAAGGTTCCCAGGTGGGATGATTGCTCTGCCGACGCAACCCTGCTCCGTAATGGGACGGAGTGTAGGTTTGGAACCTTAAATGATCAGCAGACCATGGCTGTTATATCCTTTACTGGATACCTTATCTATGGAGGATGTTTTGCTGCAACCCTATCGAGTGCAATTGCCAGTCTTGTCGGTAAATATATTAAATTTCAGATTTTGTATTTTCAATCTGGAAAATGTTCTGGTGTCTGTCAACGTTTTAAATAGTTTAAAAACGACACAGAATTCAGAAATGTAGTTTAGCTAATATTAGTTTTCCCAATTATGGATAATATGCAGCATTGGCTTTGGAAAGAAAAAAATCTTCGGATTTGTACAACGAAATTAAAGGGAAACTTCCCATTTTTGATAATTTATTCTTACTTTATATCGAATCGAATAATGACTTCTTTTAACGATGTAACTCATAAAAGTGTCCTCCACATTCCCTAGAAGAGAGGAAAAATTTAAGTATTGAATATAAGATACAGACCGGTAGGGTTTTTACGATCAAGAATTGTGAAAGCGTTGCGGATGAATTAAGCGAGTTCTATTATATCACCTCTTTGACATATATTGCAGTCGTAAACCAATTTACTTTTGGCGTGTGGTTCAATCCCTCCAATCCCCCCTCCAGCTTCCTACCTCCCCGTTCCTATGATTTACATTTATTATTGTTCACTGTTCAGGGGCCCCTAGAGTACTTCAGGCCCTGGCTAAGGATAAACTGTATCCCAAGATAGAATTCTTTGCCCCGGGATTCGGAGCAAACAATGATCCTATTCGTGGATACATTCTCGTCTTTTTAATCTCTCTTGGTTGTGTACTCATCGGTAACTATTTATTACAAGTATTTACATATAAATGTAGTATTAACTGTTTTTGATCACTATGCCACTGACAACAGGACTGATTACTTGCCACAACTTTAAACTTTATATTACTGACAATCTGTTTTTTTATCATTTGATCATTTGATTGAACAGAGTTTGTAATGTAAATGAGGATAGAGTATAATTTTTCATTATCATAAAAACGTCTAATATATGTTTTGAAATAATTTTTCAACCATCTTCTCTTAAAAGATAACTGATTTTAAAATGATTTTTTTTTCAATTCAGGAGAATTAAACATGGTGTCGTCCCTTCTCTCCAACTTCTTCGTAGCTGCATACGCTCTAATCAACTTCTCCGTGTTCCACGCTAGTATTACTAAATCCCCAGGCTGGAGACCAGCATTTAAGGTATGCAAGCCCGGATACGCTTTTTCTATAGTTAATCCTGATCAGGATCCAGACAATGAGAAGTATATATTAAAAGTATTAATATCTTAACTATCCATGCGTTGTCATAATAATAGGAAACATATTAATTTTCATCAATAAGGGAATTTAATAAAAAAAAAAATATTGAGTGATTTTTAACTAAATTTAAGACTGTTTTTATGTTGAGTGAACTTTCTAGGCTTATCCGTACTCAATATTCATGTATTATTTTAGAATTTTTTGGCAAAAATATTCGGATTAAGAGTGCACAAAACCAGTCATGCTTAGAATTTTGTATGAATGATTTTACATTTAGACTCTTTCAATTTCTCAGAATTAAAAATTTCATTCTCGGTGTACTAGCCAGGACTAGAAATTATAGTTGAAATGTTTCAGTCTAAGGCCGAATTCAAAGAATTTGATCCGTGGCTTAAAATTAAGATTAAAGCCGGCGCTCAGTTTAAACTGGTTTTGACGGATTTTTGACGCGGCTCAAATTCATTAAATTCGGACTTTGGATTCTTTTCAATGAAAAATGTGAAACATTGGGATCTGCCCCTTGAATTTTAGAAAATCTGAATTTAGCTTACAAAGAAACTAATTAAATTGAACATTTTAGAAAATCTGAATTTAGCTTACTAAGAAACTAATTAAATTGAACATTTTGGAAGATCAGAATTCAGCTTACTAAGAAACTAATTAAATTGAACATTTTGGAAAATCTGAATTTAGCTTACTAAGAAACTAATTATATTGAACAATTTGGAAAATCTGAATTTGGCTTACAAAGAAACTAATTAAATTGAACATTTTGAAAAATCTGAATTTAGCTTACTAAGAAACTAATTATATTGAACATTTTGGAAAATCTGAATTTAGCTTACAAAGAAACTAATTAAATTGAACATTTTGGAAAATCTGAATTTAGCTTACTAAGAAACTAATTAAATTGAACATTTTGGAAAATCTGAATTCAGCTTACTAAGAAAAAATTAAATTGAACATTTTAGAAAATCTAAATTTAGCTTACAAAGAAACTAATTAAATTGAACATTTTGGAAAATCTGAATTTAGCTTACTAAGAAACTATTTAATTGAACATTTTGAAGATCAGAATTCAGCTTACTAAGAAACTAATTAAATTGAACATTTTGGAAAATCTGAATTTAGCTTACTAAGAAACTAATTAGAATGAGCATTTTGGAAAATCTGAATTCAGCTTACTAAGAAACTAATTAAATTAAACATTTTAGAAAATCCGAATTTTACTCGCCAAATACTTATATCTTTGTAACCTGTCAGGTACAACTTATGATGTTTTATAATTTGTAATATAAATAAACATAATAAAAGTTCGCAAATTGTGAACAGGTTTTGTTTTTCAAGAAATTCAAGAACTATACTTTAATTTAAAAAATTAATCTATGAGAAATAGAATAAATATTAAAATTACTGGAAATTATCGCCTACACAGCACATTTGCTGAGAGTAAACAAATAGAATCGATCCGTTTCATCCTGCAGTATTCTAACTTAAGTATTTTAACGATATAGGGTTTCCCATCAAAACCAAAATATTTTTAGTTTTAGTTGTAAATTAATTAAGTTATGTAAAGAATTTTATTCAGATTTTTTTATTATTTGAAGACTCGACAAATTAAACCATATTTTGAAAAGCTCATAAGTATATTACCTTTTTTGAATCAAAAATTCAAAGATTAAAGACTCTTTTTGTCGTCTGTCAATTATAATTCATAAAAGATTATTTTGTTTTGGACATTGGACAACAACAAAAACAATTATGTTTTTTTGTGATGTCTAAATCAGAATTTCCTAACTGCGCTTTTCTTCGATCTCAGTCCCAGAATCTGAAAATATCACCCATCCTTATAAATTTAAATTTTTAAAGTATGATTTTCAAAAAAAAATTCTTATTGTGTACCTTCTTCTGACCCAATTAAGCCCACAGAAAAACATCAATTAAAAGTTTTCAACCTATATATAAATTTGGCTTGTCTGTTTGTTTGTTTGTATCCAATAAACGTCAAAACGGCTATAGTTCTATAGTTCTATAGTTCTATAGTTCTATAGTTCTATACTTCTACACTTCTATAGTTATACGTGACCACAGGGAAGGTTTATGAATGATAAAATTTTTTAAAAAATATGTTTCAAAGGTTTTTAAATTTGTAGAAAAAAATTAAATTCTTGAAAATTCGCGAATTTTTTTTTAAATCCGCAAAATTTTCTTCTTTGTTTTTAAATGTAAACAAAAAGATCATGTTCACAATTTAGATAGAAGCCTAGTATAATTTAAATTTAAAAAGATAAATTAAATAATATTTTAAGGTTTCCTTCCAGGGATGTAATATTTCAAAAACTCACCTGACAGCTGAAATCGTCCATCCCCTACTAACCTTTTTGTATTCTAGTACTACAGTCCCTGGGTGTCCCTGCTGGGAACCCTCCTCTGTGTTTGCGTCATGTTCATGATGGACTGGGTCACTGCGCTCCTCACATACGTCATCGTTATCGTTCTCTACTTCTTCATCTACTACAGGAAACCAGGTATTAATTTCACTACTTAAACTTAAGTAGTATCCATCAAGTCTAGCGTAGTGCACATATAATAATTTTCATCGAAAACGTATTTTTAAAATATTATGGAAAAACTTGGTGTAAATAATATCTGTTTTTATTCGTTCGTTCGGTTAAAAAAAATAAAAATAAACAGTATCAATTATTATATAAAAAGGTAGAATTTGAGTATTTTTTACCAGATAAATAAGCCGGTTTACTTAACTTTCTATTTAGTTAAATCGTCAAGAAGATTTTTAATTGGGAAGTTTTCAGCTTTATTAGTTTTTCTGAGTAAAAACATTTTCTGAGAAGATTACTTCAAAAGATTTCACTTGAAGCTGAACAAAGACAGACAGTTAAATGCAAGTTTACCAAGACTTTCCGATGTTCTCCAGTTTTTATTAATGTCAAGGAATAGTTTGATTGCACATATAAAGATTAAAAAGTGCATTTACTAAGGGATTGTCTGCGTAATTTCAAGGGGCATTAAGCGTAATTTCAAGTGACCCTCTATGCAAATGCCTGATTCACAAAATGGCAATAAAAATTGATCAAGTATGAATTAGATATAAATGTTTACTAGTTTTACACTGTTTTCTATAATTATGTTTTCTGTACAAAAGTGACTTGCGTATTTCAACTGCAGGAAATCAAACTGGAATTATCAGAAATATGAACATTTCGAAAAACGACAACATCTTCCACATTATTTTTCATACTTAAGTTTCAAGGGTACCGTTGTGAATCGGGCATTGGCATCTTTGCATTTACCCTTGAAATTACGCTTACACTTCCATTAATTAGATGGTTATTTTACCTTATGGGCTTAAAAGAGTTTTTTTGATTTTTGTAATAACTCTTTAAATAGAGTGTCAATTAAAATCTAGAAACTGTTCTCTTTAATTCTCCACTTTCCGGAACCACACGGTAAACTAGAGGTCTTTTTAGTCTTAACTTTAGAACCCATTTTTTACCCCTTATATATAGATTTTCCGGAACCACACGGTAAACTAGAGGTCTTTTTAGTCTTAACTTTAGAACCCATTTTTTACCCCTTATATATAGATTTTCCGATTTAGACTTGTAATACTTTTTTATATTTATATACATAATTTCATTCAATCTTTGTTCAATTGTTCAGAGGCGAACTGGGGAAGTTCAGCACAAGCTCAAGTGTTCGTGAGTGCTCTCAAGGGGGTTCAGAGTCTGACAGAAACCCAGGATCATGTTAAAAACTATCGTCCAAAGGTAAACAAATAATTTTCCCTACTTTTAATTTGCCGGATTTTTTCAATAATTCCACCAGGGGATGATTTTTGAAAAATAGAAAATCGAAATCAAAAGACAAGTTTTTTCCCCATAAACTCATTTATATTCATCACTTCATCGAATAAAACCTAAATTTAAGATTGTGAGCATTTTACGTAGAGTACAGATAATTTGAATGTAGATACAGGGTGTCCCAATAAACATGGGATTTCAGTGACGAATTCGATATCGTCTTTTTAAATAATTCTTTGATTTAGTATAGTGATACCTACTGAGAAAGCTGTAATCTGTAAGAGTTTCGTCTGCTATGTTCACAATTTGTTTGTTTATGTTTTGACTGCATACGGTTGTACTTAGTAAAACAAGAAAATAGCAGTATTACAAACAGTGTAAATTTGTCCGTCTTCACTGTTCATCTTGCGGAGACATTACCAACACATCTTTACAGTCGTTTACCCTTTTCATAAAATAAACTCTAGCAGACATAATAATATTATGGCTTTTGAAATTAGGTATTACATTGCTAATATGTAACAAAGACGATATCGAATTGGTCACTGAATTCCCATGTTTTTTGGGACACTCTGTATGAAACCTTATCTAATGTGTGATTGCGATGAGTTATATGAGAATATATATGAAAAAGTTGTATTCAAATTCAATTTATTATATTTATTCTATTTTGGATTTGGTTTTTTTATTTCTTCCTTTTATTGTAGTTCTAAATACAATGATAATCGAAGAATTTTTGAAGTTCTAAACTTTTGAATGAAATGTCAATTTTGACAAGTTCAAGATTCTCTTGAATTCTGATATTTAGTTCTACCTCTAAAGGAAGAATTCGCGAAAAATAAATTAATCGGAGCTAAAAACTTTAGAATGAGTTATCTTTAATCCCGATCGGTTAATTAATCTGGAGATTAATAACAAGAGAGAACAAGCATTGTTTGAACTGGAGATTTTGAAAAAGAGGAGATAAAGCATTGTTTGCAATATCCACCATTCAGCTCGGCTCTTTTAAACTCAACTCAACTCAACTCTTGTTTGAGATTGTACAATTAGTTACAGACTAGGACGCCAGTAATTCCTCTCTTGTTCATTAATTTCGACCTTTCGTTTTATTTTTACCTTTGGTAAATTAGTTTTTGTTGTAGGTTCTTGTTCTAACCGGAAACCCAGCTCACCGACCCCCTCTAGTTGACTTCGCAAACCTAATCACTAAAAAGCTATCTCTGCTCATCTGCGCTCACGTGATCACGGTGAGTGTTAAACCAGTTGTGGGAAAAGTTTTAACGTGTGTCGACAATGACCGAAGCCAAATTTGAAAGTTTAACAACATTTTATTTGCCCACGGGAATGTTCTTTGCTTGGTTTAAGATTCTAGGTTGAGTGGGTCGACTTTAATAGCGAAAATTTGGTTTTCTAGTAAAATCGTGCAACTGCGGGTAAACGGCGTGAGTAACTTTTAGTAGCCTTGGCAGCGCTGGGTTCCCAAGCTAGTTCTTAATAAAGTATGATTGAAATTTACAATGCATTACTTAAACATCTCAGTACTACGCTCAAACTTGACACTTGCAGCATGTAAGTCGTGCACGGGTGGTGCCCCAACCTATAAAAAGTAAGTTTGCACGATATGCATGCATACATGATGGGAAAGAGCAATTTAAACCAATGTACTAAACGGACTGGCCACAACTGAAGAAAAAAAGCTTACAAGGCAAATAAATATTGCAGCTCAACCGTGAAAATTTCCTTTTTTCTATGCCGGCTTTAGATAATAGAACATCAACAATAAACATAAACATTCCTTTGGAACTTATAGCTCCCCTTTTCCTGGTACTCCTGTTACTTACTCCTGTTACCTCTTTTCTGTTACTTCTGTTCCCCCTACCCTGTTACTCCTGTTTCCTTTATCCTGTTACTCTGTTTCCCTCTAATATGTTACTCCTGTTTCCTATATCCTGTTTCCTTTATACCATTACTCCTTGTTTCCTCTATTCCGTTAATCCTGCTTCCGCTATTCTGTTACTCCTTGTTTCATCTACGCTGTTACTTCTGTTTCCTCTTCTCTGTTACTCATATTCTCTTTATCCTTTTACTCCTGTTTTCTCTATCCTGTTTATATCTGTTCTCTCTATCCTGTAACTCGTGTTCCGTGTACTGTATTGTCCTGTTGTCTATAAACCGTGCAGTGCTAACGCGACGTGACTTAAATTTCTAGTATAGAACATATTTTGTATTTAGCCGAAGATAAAAACGTCAAGACCATGTCATTATAATTTATCATCAACCCAACCTACTTTTCGACCCAGGCCACGGTACAAATTCTCCTATTGTAAAACATTTAACGACAAAATTCCGGGCGTTCAATGTCTTAATATTACCGAGTTTAACATAAAACATTGATGTTAACTATTATGAGACAGGTCAAACGTCGTCTTTGATTCATGAAAAAGAAGGACAAAAAGTATATATATTTTTAGAGTGCTTCAGATGATATTTTTTTTGGTATAAACCAGAGCTTTTGCTGGTCTTTTCACAATACTTTTTTTCGTATAGCCGAAATGTTAATAACTTTAATATATTATCAAGTTTTTCTTTTTAAAGAGGGTTACTTGTCAAGTCTCCTATTTAAAGGGCGTTCTTTTGATGTCATTCTTAAAGATTTTGGCGACGCATGAGTCATAACAAATCAAGCAACGCCCAGTTGTCTATTGGCAGGGTTGAATACGACCTTAGTTTTTGCTTTGGATAATATCAGTTGAAATTGAATAGAATTCTCTCCCTCCCTTCTCTGTATATGGTTTATTCTTTGTTATATAGATAGCAGATGCTAGGTTTAAATATATGCAGCTATATTGGCTCAACGAGAACTGCAAAATTCTCTGTTTAGTGGAGAGAGAGAAAAAAGATTCCGCAAAAAAATATAAAATCGTGTTATGCCCCCATCTTGATTGGATATTGGGACAAGAGTCCCTTCCCCTCTTCTAAAATTTCTTATTGAAGAACATAAAAAAATATATCTTCATTCCCAGATATATTTTGGCATTTTTCGCATTTATGAGTAACCCTAGCTTAAATCCTGTATAAGCCCTCGATTGTATTCTTGGTACTTTGCACTGATTTCGTTTTATCTACTTAAAATCTACGGCTTTTTATTGAGTTAATTGCTTAGATATATAAGCTTCTCTCCCCCCTTCTCCCTGGGAGTATGTTTTAGAAATACAATACAATTGGTATGAGGGGGGGGGGTGTCCAAACCAACTGTTGAATCTTTTATTCTGTAGAATAGGGTGAGAGTAAAAAAAAAGGCAGACGCCCAGGGAAGTTAACATGCGCATCCCGCAATGAATTATAAGACAGAGAGAGAGCCTGTTCTAGCCGTGGCGCACGGCCCCCGAGCCTGTCCTAGAGCCTGTCAAGACTTGGAATCGCCAATAAAAATCTTGGATTTCCGATTCAAATCCAGGAGTGTCCGATGAAAAGATTGGGGTCTCCGGTTGGAAATCCTGTCGCAAAAAAAACTATTTGAAATTGCAACTTTAAACCTGAACAATGTTGAAATTCAGACATAAGAAAAATTTGCCCGGTCAGTTTTCATAGCAATTTTTCTAAAAATAATTTCTAGTGTTTATGCATATATGTCTGTTAAAAATGTATATTATGTAAACTAAATTTGTTTTTAAAAGTTAAATTTACTAAAAATTCAAAAAGTGGTCCTTACTGTTCAGCGTACATATTTGGGTCAGTTGACAAAGTAATAATTGACTTAACTGATTCTTTTGGTAATTGTTCATATATAATTTTACTACTAAAACTGGCCTTTATGAAATGTGAACTAAATATCAAACACAGTTAATTGAGAGTTTTAGAGCCAAGGGAAGTGGGTGTTCAAGGCTTTGTATACGAACTAAAGAACTGGTCACGATTTACCCATTTTACAAGGTTTTCCACCAAATCCTTTAATTTATACGAACATAAATTGGATTCTTCGAAGAGGATTTGATGGACAAATGCATTCTTCAATAATCCATAGCATATAATTTATTAAAACAATAAGAAGGATTTGGATTTCAGAGAAGATTAAATTTTTAGAGAAGGTTAAGAAGGATAGAGTTTTAGAGTAGGTTAGAGCTGACAAGAAGGATTGAAGGATCGAAGCAAAGAGAAGGTTAGAGTTGCAGAGAAGGTTAGAGTTGTAGAGAAGGTTAGAGTTGCAGAGATGGTTAGAGTTGAAGAGAAGGTTAGAGTTGTAGAGAAGGTTAGTGACGAAGAGAAGGTTAAAGTTGAGGAGAATATGAGGGCTATTTTGAGGGATTTTAACGCTTCCTGGTATTTAAATCCAGTTAGAACTGGATACTTGAAGTCAATTCAGAACCAACAGTTTTTACTCACGCCAGGGCTAATTCTGCAACATTTAAGAATTCTTAAATATTGTTTATTAAGCTAATACAATTTCCTACGGTTTGTAATAACTTGACGAAGTTATGTAGAGTATGTATGCTATCAAGCTGTTAAATGTGGTTGGAAATCCCCCGGCGGCCGGCATTCTGACGAGGGAGAGAGGTAGGGATGGAAAATACCCGGAATTTGTCCGCACCGCCACTCTGACGAGGGGGAGAGGGATAGCAAATACCCGCAATTTGTTCGCACCGCATATGGAACCATTGTTTAACCCAATTTTTCTACTTACAGCATCAATAAAATTTTACTTTATTTGGGATTAAACAATATTGAACGAAACACATTGAACTATTCGAATTTGTAATTTTCGAGTTCATATTTGCTCTTCAATTTCTCATCTTGTTTAATTAACAGTTGGATTTTTAATAAAAAATATTTTTCTGGATTATTTTCCTTGCTTGAGTCAGCTCCTCACTCCATTTTCACTTTGACTATTATTTTTTAAGCTTATGAGGGTGGACTTGAAAAAGAATCTTTCGTTTAAAATCTTTCTCTCAAAAAGTATAAACTTTTAATCTTAAATATATATCTGGACAACTATATTTTGTGAAAATGAATAAATAATTCCGAGAAAAAGACTGAAGAATCAGTTCCATCCTATCTTAGCTCGTATTTATGGAGGAAAAAAAATATAAAAATTTCCTTGATCCTTAAATTGCATATCCTAGATATTTTTTTATAAAAATATAAATTATTTAGGAACCTGGATCCAAGCACTTGGCTTTAATGAGAGAATCTACTCAGGCCTGGCTTAATGATCACAAGATTAAAGGATTCTACACTGTAACTGAGTCAGGTAAATACCTATCAATCAATCAATCATTTTCTTAAATAAAATGTGACTAAATGAGAATAAATAAACTGAACATTTGCCACAAACTCTAGTTTTGGACTCAGATATTGTAAATTTTGTATATTTCAAAACTATCTTTCAGAATTCATATCTTGAAGTATTTAAAGTCTATAAGTCAGGTTGCAAAGATACAAGGGTTTGACTTTGTGGATAGTGTTCCTTTGAAAATTAGAAAAACAATATTAAGATAGATTATTTAGCAATCCTTTTGTGTATTTGATGTTGTTAAAAAGCAAAAGTTTTACTTGTAACTTATTAAATCACTTATTAAGTAAAATGGGTCTGTTTACACATCACAATTGCTATAAAAGTTATAACTTTCAAGTCTAAAAGTCGTCTTTCTTTTCCTGAGTTTTCTGGTTTTCACTGTAGGAAATTTGCCTTCTAATCAACTTTATTTTCCTAATAGGAAAAGAACTGATTATTCCCAACACACCCTAAATTTTCTAATCCTTTTATCATTGCAACCTAATTACATCAGCAAGTTGTTAAATATTGAAAATTAAAAATTGTGGAAAGGACTCGGATCCTTTTTGATTTAAATAATTTCCACTTAAAATTTAAATTAAATGTAAAGACATTTTTCAGAATGTGGGGGAGGATACTTTGTTTTACTTGCCTTTCGGGTTTTTTTCTTCTCTTTCTTTACCGGTTTTGTTGTATATTTCTGGATTGCTCTTTTCCCACGCCTTCTCCCTTAGTTCAAAACGTAACAAAAAATCTAAAAAAGAAACTAACTGATTATTTTGTCTAAAACTCTAATTTTCTACTTTACTTTTTCTTCTGATTTACAAATACAAATTTGTTTCAGGAAGTTGGGAGGAGGGTGCAAAAGCCTGTTTAACCCTAGCTGGGCTGGGCAAACTAGCTCCTAATCTTGTTCTTATTGGTTTCAAGGAATCATAAACTCAAATAATACTTAACGTACAAATTAAAAGAAAAGTTTATTGAGAAAATTCAACATGACAAAAAAATTTCATAGAGCAAAGTTTTTGGGTGTCGTTCATTTAATGCAGCCTTTTTATGTTAAGGGTGACCCGGAAAAAAAAACCGGGATCGTGGGTTTTCTGCCCTTTTTAATCCTTAAATAAGACTCGGAAAAGATATAGTTATACGCCAAACGTAAGCATCAAACGACAAATTGTTAATTATAAAACTCTTTGTATAATTAGAAACTACATGCTAGAGCCCTTTTTTATGGTTAATTTAAAATTCAGTGATGGTGATGGACCAAACCTCTGTAGAGTAAAAAAGTAGATGTTAGTTCCACATTTATTAAAAATATATTTCGGTCTGGGTTGACACTCGTCAGTTCTAACGATATAATAATTATCAAAATCGATAAAAAAATAAATAATGTAAAAATCACAAGAAGATAAACAAACAAAAAGATTATTCAAAATAAAAATTTGGGCTGTCAAATGGACATAAGGGAAAAGAACTCAGATTATGAGATGGAAAAAAGATAATTAACGCTTTTAAAGATAAATACACGGTTACTCATGTAAGATAACATTCATATTTTTTTTGCATAATGATTCGTCATTCGGGGCAGGTGTGGCATGATCCAAATCCACAACCTCTTTATTCCACACCACGTTTCAGCATAAAAATGCCGGACATTTTTGAATCCGTCTGAAATTTTAGATCCCTTACCCTGTCATATTGTTGGGAAAACCATGAGCTAATGAACCCGTCTGTAGTCTGACTGGATGACTAATCTGGAGGGACTACACCAATACTTCAATGTTCTGCACTCAGCTTACGACCATGCTCTGTCCATTGGAATCCTTAGGTAAACTTAATTTATAAAATATTTTAATTTTATAAAATATACTTCAGTGAAGCCCTTAATAACGAATACATCGAAAGAATTCATCAAATGTCGTATTCTTCACTTTCTGATAATGGAATGTTGCAGATATTAAGTTTTTTTATTAAATGATTATATGGAGCTCTTTAAAACTGTTCCCGCATATTCATGGATATTTATTTATTTTCGCAAATACTGAAATTTATGTAATATAGATGTATTCATTATTAAGGGTTTCACTGTAGCTGGAGTGCCCGGCGTTGCCCAGGTTTATATTATTAATTATGGTAAAAGTGACGCCCTATGTTTACCCGCACTTGGTGTTAAACAATGATTTTAGCTGAAATTACCCGTGGAATTTCCAAAAAAAAAAGTGCAGAGCTTTATCATACAGATTATATTATGTATGCATAATTTACGATTTTTATCTGTATATTGTATATTTTGAACGATTTTTATCACATCACAGAGCACAACTACAGGTTAACTAAAATCACTTTCCAGTAAAATTAATTCTGTTGCTTTTGTTAAAAATAAGTTGAAAAGTGTTTTTAAAACTCTAAATATTTGAATTTTGCAGAGTGAAGAACGGACTTGATTTCTCTGAGCATATCCTTGCAGAGGAAACTGTAGGAGATCATAGCGAAGGTAAACTAGTTCAAAACAAGTCTGTATTTATATATTTTTTATTTTATTTTAATATTTAGAATTTTTGATTCTTATTTTGAATCTTTTTTAAAAACAAAAATATTTACTTAAGACAACTTATTCCTTTTTTCTATTAAAAATAAAACCTTATATTTACTGTGGTAAGTGGATAAAACTATGCTCTTGTACTTGATTTCCAGAATTATTGAAAGTAAGATGAAAAAAAATATCTACTCTAATCCACTTAAAATAGCCCCCCCCCCCTCATTCATAATTTTTTGCCCTAGCACTAATTTTGACACTGTGACTTTGAAATTATTTTGCTTATAACACATTTAATAATTTTAGAATTTTTTAGCAAAAAAATTTTTTAATTAATGTAAAAAGTGTAAAAAGAAATCTAAATGGCCCATAATTTTTTTGATATTTAAGCTACAGATCTAAAAATCATATTTTTGGAAAGCTCTTGAAACCATATATTCAGACCCCCAGAAACATTTATTTACCCAATCCAAGTAGTAAAGTAAGAAGTAAATGGTAAAGGAACTCTGGGTTGCTATTGTGTATAATACTGAAATAAATATAACTTAGTTTATTAGGAATTCTAAACTCATGGACAACACTCCTCCTGGGTATTATATATTCTATATTCGGCAATACAACAATAAATGTCATGTTTGAAATTAAAGGGAGTGTTCGCGATAAATGAAAGGGGGTAGGGGGTATTTTTTCCTTACATGCAAACAGAAAGAAGTGAGATTAGTAGCGATCAAACGCGCTTATACCCCCTTTCATTTTTCGCGAACACTCCCTTTAACATGCATCAATTTTGTTGTAGTATTATCGTATATTTATGTTCATATACTATGTATTTCCACCGGCCAAAGTCAATCCTTCTCATAAGTTTTTCTGATCTAAAAATGCAGTTTAACTTCTTTACTTCATGCAGTAAGTCATTAACTATATATAAACCTGCACTTAACTTCCCTATAGAGAAAGTTAAACTGCATTTTTGAATCAGAAATATTGAAGAGGATGTTCGGGTTTGGCTGGTGGAAATACAGTGAAGTTAATTAGAGTTCACCTAAACTCTCGAAAAAGCATGACATCTAAAATTAAACTAAAAATTGGAAATTTGTTGTACATGCTCCATTTTAAGCATTTTGTGTCATGAATATTTTAGGTTAACTCAACTAAATTGTCGTTTGCATGTGTTGATTCGAATTCAAGAACATTATTTGATTTTCAATGAAAACTACAAAATTGTTTTGGAAATTGTTAATTTAAAAGTCACCTATTCTTATAATAGTTTATATATATATATTAAATTTTTAACAAATTTAATGTATTATCGCTTTACAACTAGGAATTTTACCCTGATCTAAAAATACTAAATTTTTTGAAAAATTCGCTGAAATTTCAACAAAAGCTTTTCCAAAATGTTGCATTTAGTGTTAATTATCTTTTGTTTGTGATGTGGTTTTAATCTTTTAGTAACTAAAGAAATTTTATATTCTCTTTCATTAATGTTAAGATTTCTTTTGTTAAAATCATTGAATTGCATTTTCCAAGTAAAAAATAAAAACAAATAAAATAAATTAAGATCAGAAAATTTGAGAAATTAGATGTGTATTTATTGTCAAATAGAATTATTGTTTATTTAAAGCTTTGTTTACATTTGATTTGTCTTGGTCATTAAAATCAGTTCAATTTGGATCCGGGTCCAAGGAGCAAAATATAAACCCAAACTGAAATAAAGAGATTTTTTAAGTACTTCATCTCTAGTTTTAGTATAAAAATTGGGGGGGGGGGGGGAAGAATTTTTTATTTTCCATGGCGGATCCGCATCAAAATTAAATGGATCCTAAGCACTGAATTAAATTTTTAACTTCTGTTGTAGAGCGTCGAGGAAGCGGAGACGAGGAGAAGGAGAAGGAGAAGAAGGAGGATGAAGAGGAAGGAGATGGAGAAGACAAAGATGAAATCGGAGAACTTCAATCTAAGACTGAGGTACATGATCTTCTACACTTAGCCCCCACAGAGATTCAGATAGCAAGAAAAGTTTCACCAATTTTTAAGACTGATCACAGCGCCTTGGTTTTTTATTGTATCTTAGTAACTTACAAATACTTTGTAAATATAGACATTTTAGAACTATACATTTTTTTAGCTTAACAGTTACATATCCGTTCTTATCCTTAATTTATCATTTATCAATAATTTTAATTATTTTTTCTAAAAAATTCGATCAAAAAACTATTAACTGAAATTTTATTTCGAGTTGAAAACATTCATTTTTTGATTGCTGGTTCTTAAAAGGGGATTAAAGTTAAACTATCTTATACAATGTACATAATAACTAATATAATGTTTTTGTACTGTTCAGGTTGTACAAGCAGTTAGGCAGAGAACTAGAACTATTTCAAGAGTAACTTATGAAACCCATGATGGAACACCTCTCGACAAAACCATTATTGATAGTATTCAACAATTCCAGGTTAATATTATTATTATTAGCAGACAACCCATCATTCATAAGTGTATCCATCATAGATAAAGATAGATTGCGCATAAGACGACATTTTTCATCTTGGAAGATATAAATGTACAGAGATGTTTTAAAGATATTCCTATTATATAGATTAACTAGGTCGGTTGTGAACATTGGCTGTTCTTATGTCATTGAGTACTTGTGGTGTACATGAGTTCTGTAGAGAGAAATTTGAGTTAGTTTAGTCCTTCTCATGTCCTTATTCAGTTCTCGTCAATATGATATATTGCTCAGTGAAATATTATTGCTCAAATAGTTCCATTCCCGGAATTATTTTACACTATTATGAAATCCATTAAAACACCAAACCACCCCGCTTATCATTGAAGTACACTTTGCCCCCTAGAAGTATGAGTTCGCGGACTGTACAACTCTTGGTGATTTTGCGTACATAAGCTATCTATGTTTATTTATTTATCTATGGTATCCATGGATAAATAATAATAATTGGAATTAATATATATTTAGAGCTGGTAACTTTTAATTAGAATCAGTGAGTAAAAAATCATCCCTGTTAAGATCAAGTCGTCCTTATCACTGATTAGACTCCAACCCTTCCTTAAACCCATCTATCACTGATTGGGCCAATGAGATATCTGTTTAGATCCGATCAACCAATGAATATTCACAAATATAAAACACTTTGGATAGGTTAACTCCATCAATTTAAAAGACTCCAACCCTTAGACTCCAACCCTTCCTTAAACCCATCTATCACTGGTTAATTGATTGGGCCAATGAGATATCTGTTTAGATCCGATCAACCAACCAATATTCACAAATATAAAACACTTTGGATAGGTTAACTCCATCAATTTAAAAGTTTCCGGCTTTTAAAATATAGAGTTTCAATTTTCGGTAGGAAACTGATGATGATATCAGAAATAATTAACAATTGCGGATTAAGGCCAAACAAGTTTTAAACAACTGTAACTGGAATCAACCTTTAAAATATGGTTTTCATGACGTTAGCACGGAAAAGGTGGAATATTAAACATCTTCATTTTGAGGATTATTTACTTCTGATCTGAAATAATCATAATTAATAATTGACAATATTGTTTTAGGGGGAGAAAAAGAAAGGATTTATTGATGTCTGGTGGTTGTATGATGATGGAGGTTTAACTCTTCTTATTCCGTATATTCTCAGTACAAGGTTAGTTTGAACAGGACTGTTCACGTATTTTCTAGTGACCCTCCATAGAGAGGTATATCTGATTCACAATGGTGTCATTTTGACCCTTATCTGAGCAATACTAAGCAGAATTTAAACGTTGTTCTATCTGAGCAATAATAAGCATAATTTAAACTTTTTTTCTATCTGGAAAAGTGTTATATTCTGTCATTTTCCTTCTTTCTCTCAATGTACAAATCTGCCAGTCACTGTTATAGGGAACCGCAATTGAAAAATATCGCTTATAAGATTTTAAAAAGAAACCATAATCTAATAAAAAATGTGGAAGATACCGTCTTTTTTCTTACTGGAAAAGTGTTTATTTCTGTGAGTTTCTCCATTGCTTCTTATAAACAAGAAATGCGCAAGTCACTTTTGCAGAGAAACCGCAATGACAATAAACAATTTAGAGAAACAAGAACATTGATATTTGATTCATAATTAATCAGACAAAGCTTTCAAGGGTACTGTTGTAAATCGGGAATTAAAAACTTTAGATGGAGGCCCACTTGAAATTACGTTTACAGCCCCTTTAAGCAAAGGTTTAATGGGTACAATACACGATAAAACAAAACCTAAACAGATTGAGCTAAAGAAGATATAACAGGAAATCTCCTGCTTTTTTACTAGTTAATAGTGTACTGCAGATATCTCAGGAGGAATGAAAACAAAGTTTGTTTACATTCCTCCCAAAACCTGAAACTTCTCCCATTATCTGAACAAATATTAGATCTGATATTTTATAAATATTTGGTATTCTAGATAAATTGTCATTAATATCTTAGTTAATTTTATTGATTATTAATTCTTCATTTAGCATTTTAAACTCTTCAAATGTGACAGTACAGCTGAATAAATTAAATAAATTAGACAGTTCAGAAGAATTTTTTTAAAAGGAAATTTTGATTTTATTTTAGCCTTCTGTTTGGGTAAAAGATATACATTTTAAACTCAACCAAGGGACACTGGTCCACTACGGTGGTAGGCGATTTTATCAATCGAGCGAAGACGACTTTTTATTTGTTATCAAACCTTTTTCGAATTACAAGTTTACAAGTAATTAAAGAGAAGCTTTTTAAATTGACAGCTTAACTTTGTTTCCATGTTTTTGTGTAGTCATGCTTTTTAAAGGCTTGATATATATACATAAAAAGGATTATTATTAAGTTATTATTAAGTTATTATTAAGTTATTAACCCTATCCCCGCTGGGGTACTTGAAAACCAGGATACGCTGGGGGGGGGGGGGCAATTTGACCCCCCCCTCTAAATCCCATGTTTTATGTCCAAATATGACAAATGATACATCATTAGAAAGCTCTTGTGCTCTACTTTTAGAATCTGCAAAAAAATTTGCAAATTTGCGAAAATTGAATTTTTTATCGCAAAATCCAGTTTTATAGTAAAAATGTTTGCAAAAAAAAATTTGTCCAAAAAATGACAAATTATACATTTTTGAAAAGCCCTTGACCATGCCATTTCAAATATGCAAAAATTTTTGCAAAATTTTAAATAACCTGATTTTTAATCAAGAAAAACTAAAAATGTGCAAATTTCCTTTGACAGGTTGTTTGCAAAAAATTTGCAATTTTTTTTCTCGCAAAACTTGTGCAATCCGTTTCCTTATGTCATAGGCTTTCCAAAAAGCTGAATTTTATCAAAATCTGACAAGTGAAAGTGGGTCAAAACAAAGATTTAGTTTGCTACAGGCAAAAGCAGTCATTCAGGCAGTGTGCCTGAGGACTCAGGCAGTTAGTATTAAAGCCCGGTTTTAGGCCTAAAGGGAGGGCTTTGGGTATGTAAGAAAAGTCAGAAAATTTCAACAGCCTCAGACCAATACTTTTTGAGTTATGTAAAAAAAACTACAAGGGGTGGGGCCAAATTGACCCCCCCCCCCAGCGGGAATAGGGTTAAGGAATATAAACTATTTAGGAAGATGTACACGGACTGCTCCTTGAGAGTGTTTACTCTGGGAAACAAGAAAGACGACCTTGACAGAGATACCAGAAAGTAAGTTTTTTTTGTTTGAAAGTAGGTTTAGGTTTATTTTAAGCCAGAAAGTAAGTTTATTTTTGTTTAAAAGTAGATTTATTTTAAGCCAGGAAGTAAGTTCATTTTTATTTGAAAGAAGGATTATTTTTACTAGGAAGTAAGTCTATTTTTAACCAGGAAGCAATTTTTTTTATGAGTAACTAAGTTCACTTTTACCAGGAAGTAAGTCTACTTTCAACCAAGAAGTACGTTTATTTTAAGTGGAAGTTATAGTTTTAGTTTTACCAGAAAGTACGTTTATTTAACCAGAGAGCAAGTTTATTTTTATGAGGGAGTATGTGGTTTTTTACCGTGAAATCTTAATAAGAAGACGGCATTTCTTCATATGAAGTTTACCCTTTTTATGCTTACTTCTGTCAAAAAAATGTTGATCTTTAAAAATAATAAATATGCTTTTTTCTCATAGAGCATGTTTATTTTTCCACATTATTTTGGGGACCACTTTTTATAAATTAACAATTCTCTACGTTTTTATTTTTATTAAATTTTCTTCTTCGGTTTTTGAAATTTCAATAAAAGTTTTACTTTATTTCTTTATGTTTATTCTTTTCTAGTATGTGCACCCTGTTGGCTAAGTTCAGAATTGATTTCTCTGACGTCATCGTTATCCCTGACGTCACAAAACGTGCCCAGGACGCTACCAAGGAGGAACTAAAGCAGATTCTGGATAAACTACCTGAAGGTTAGGGTTTATTGGTTAGAAAACAAAAGCTAGATTTTGATATATTTTTTTACCTACAGAAAACCGAGTTTTTGCCCCAAACTCAAATTTTCCAATCCCTATTTCCATAAATTAATTAAAACGTCAGATAGGACACTAGATGTCGTCTTTTCAAGGTTTGCATGAAATTCGTTCACATTATTCCTGAGACAGAAGCCCAGAGGAGTTTCGCGCAGTCGGCGTAGAACAGGCTCATCTCTGTCTCTACGTCAACTGCGCGAAACTCCTCTGGGTATCTGCCTCAGGGTTATTATGAACGAGTTTCATCCAAATTATTGCATCCTGGTGATGTAAACCTTTTTTCAATTTATAGTTTGAAATATCAAATATTGCAAAAATATAAGGATTAGAAAATCAAAGTTTGTGAAAAGACCTAATTCCTTTTTATTATCAAATTTTCAGCTTATAAATATCTTAGCTTAATAAAATCATTATTAATGCATCATTGAGACATTATTGAGCTATAGGACACTCTCTAAGGAAAAAATGGGTTTAACTTAATCTGTCCATTCTAGTTACTATCATATTCAAAAGGATGAAAAAGATGTTTTTTTTTCCGCGAACAGTCTTAGATTTAACTCATTGTTAAATATACGGTAACACTTGATGATGGTAAAAAAAGAGTTGATAAAGATACAAATTACCATTATTTTGTAGATTGTATATCCGAGGATGATTTACTGATGAACAAGGAGAAAACAAACCGTCATCTGCGTCTAGCTGAACTCCTCAGGGAGCACAGTAAGGAGTCTCAACAGATAGTTATGTAAGAATTTAATCATTTTAAAAAAAATTTTATTTCATTAATTTTAAAACAGTTAAATTGAGCAAAATATTATTTAAATAAACAAAAAGAAATAGTTCAAATGGGCATAAAAAAGTACAATTTTTCTTGCTCATATGAACTTTATTTTTGTTTACTTGAACTGGATTATGTATCATTGGAAAGCTTTTTTTGCTTGTTTGAACTATAGCCCCCATTCCCCCCCCCTGAATATGCCTCAGAACAATGCCTATGCAAAACTATAGTTCACTTCTTTTGGTTTTAGAACTTGAAAAATACGTATTTTTACGTAAAGGTAAAACCTAAAAATTTTAAAAATTAAGAAATGTTAGGATTTTTTCAAACCTAAATCTACGTATAGGAAACCCCTAAAAAATCCTGATTTTTACATGCGCATTTTTACGTTATTCCTATACGTATTTTTTACAGATATTAAATACGTATTTTTACGTATAGGAAAAACCTAAAAATTCCTGATTCATTTGAAATCAAACGTGTTTTGGTCTTTAATTCAATAATCATTTACTTTACGGGTTTGTTTATTTTATACATTTTTATCAAAAATGCATATGCCAACAAAAAAGTACTCAAGAAAAAAGGCTAAAAAATTATGTTTAATGGGTCAGATTGTGACCGAAAGTCACAGCTTTCTGGAATATTGACAGAACCGTTAAATCCACGTGTAGGGTAGTTCATATTCCTTTGAACGTTCATTTTGTTCATTTGAACATTTTATGTCCACTGTGAAATATTTTTTTTGATCATTTACTATTTTGTAATGATTGTTTAACGTATTTTTTCATGAAATACAAAAAATTTAAAATGCTTATTTAATAGTTCAAATGAGGAAAAAATGTGTTGAATGAACTACAGGAAATAACGTTATTATAAGAAGTTAGAATGAACAATAATTCAAACGATCAATAGTTTAAATGATTATTAGTTTAAATGATCAATAGTTCAAACGGAAGTATAGTTCAAATGTGGATCCACCCAGTTTCGTCGTTGGCTCCAATTATAATGGTCGTTTTTTAAGATGATTTTAACAAGTTATAAATAGATCAGTGTAAAATAGATAAGTTTTATGTAAACTTTAATTCATTATGGTTTATGTACAGGACACTGCCAATGCCGCGTAAGGGATCTGTCTGCCCTGAGCTGTACATGGCCTGGCTTGAGATAATGACGCGGGATCTTCCTCCAACTCTACTTATACGCGGCAACCAGACTTCCGTTCTAACATTCTATTCTTAGTTTACTCTGCACGTTATGTACACGTATTACAATGTACAGTGTACACCGTGCAAGCTGCACAATGTTTGTGCATCGACTCTTGTTAAATATTAAGTACATATCGTTTGGTTTTTTAAAGTGTTAAACATTCCTGCTGATATTTATTTTTCGGATTTCTAATTTTCTAATAATCTGAGGAGACTTCATTCTTTAGAATCAGCTTAAGTATTCAATTTCTTGAAGATGTTTCAAAACTAAAATAAAAATGTAAATTAAAAAAATTATGTGATTTCTATCCCGGTTTTTTGCGCTTCAAGTTGTGTAAAGTTTATTTTTGTAATCTATATTCTATATTTGTAAATTGATGACTATTTAAAACTTAATTTGTTAACATTTGGTATTTTGGTATTTTGGTACGACAATAAACAATGACAAAAACAATATAATTGTTGGGATCGCATTTAATCGTTTTTAGATTGAAAAATGATTCTGAAGTTTTAATCTGATAAAGAACGACCTGCATGACCTGCTTGAAAATAATTTCTTTCATTCTACAATTAAGGTTTACAGGAAAAAGTATGAAGAAGAAGTTAAATATATTTTTTTTCCGTGTCATGAACATATTCACGGGTTATAGTTTTAAGAGGCCCCACTAAAATGTTGGTACAACTTGAACACCTTTTTAAATACAGGGTGTCCCGCGAAACATGACAGTATGCAAGACGACTTGAATGTTGTCTTGATTTTTGATATAATTTGCTGCATTTATTTGTCAACCTAATTTTAGAAATAAATTTCTAGAGATAATGATCACAAAATTCCGTAGTCCTGCCATTTCCAAAATGTGGTCTGCCTTTTTGTACTTTCAATATTGCCTGAGATATGAAGAATTTCGTTCAGATTTTGACAATTTTGCTTTTATTTAACACAATTGAAATCTGAACCAAACTCTTTATATCTCCGGTAATATTAAAACCACAAAAAACGCAGACCCCTTATCGGAAATGCCAGGGCTAGGAGAATTATGTGATAATTGTTTCAAGATCATACGTGTTAAAGTAGATAGAAGACTAAATGTCACAAATAAATTCAAATACCAAAGACGACTTTCAAGTCGTCTTGCTATTGTCATGTTTCGTGGGACACCCTGTAGTTCCTTAACAAACTAATAGTTTTGCTTGGTTCTGGTCTTAATACTTTTATCAGAGTCAAAATAAAAACCTCTGATGTTTGTAATTTTCGTTCTTCAACGTAAAACGTATTTGTTCATTAATAAGACACTTATAGGAATATATTGTCTCATTGTGTTGTGAAATGTGGACGACTAGTACGTACGTATAACGGTGTCAATTAAAAGTATTCCCTGAAAATTTATTCTGCAGTGTATTGAACAGCTTTCTATTTATTTTCGTCCATAGAGGTCGCGCGATGTTGCAGTTTATGGTCGGACACTAAATGTTGTAGAAGATCGCTTTTTTTACAGTACTTAATTCCTCCGTATTTAGGACGTAAGTAAGTGGAGACGTCACATGTTTGCAAAATGTATGGATGAAAAGATACCGGCTCAGCAGATTGTACACACTGTACAGAGCCCGTTCTCTCCATAATAATGTTTAAACAGTGGCCGTGTTGTTCACGTACTTTGGGGGACGATAGTTTGGCCGCTAGATGTCTCTCGTAAGAACTATCTATCTATCAGATAAGAATTTTGCGTGAGACACCTAGCGGCCAAACTATACGTCCCCCAAAGTACGTGAACAACACGGCCACTGTTTAAACATTATTATGGAGAGAACGGGCTCAGAGGGTTTTCACAGAGGCCGTTCCTTCCATAAACTACATTGGTCGACAACTTGACGTCTCCTATATTGGTCGTGAAATGTACGGAGAAATTGTGTTTTGTTCAAACGCGTTCTTCCATGAGTTATCAGTGTCCGAGTATTGTCCGAGGCCATAAACACATACATATGCTACCCCTATCGACGGAAAAAAAGGGACATTTTATTACGAATTTGATTTGAAAGCAGCAAACTATCTTAAACATAAGAAATTGTACTTTGATTTAATTTCAAATTCATAATGGATCTTAAAAACAAGACACTCAATCAATTTATGAAATAAAATCAGAAAGCTACTTTGATTAGTGCTGCCACCACGGCTAATGATCCAGTTACCGTATATGGCGTGAGAATCTCTGTCCGTCCATGAATAACTCACGGGAGACATCTATAGCGGCCAAATTATCGTCCTCCGAAGTACGTGAACTACACGTCCACTATCTATAGAAAGACCGGCCTCAGTACACGTGAACACGTCACTGAAATCGAATTTTAAATTAGATTATAGTCAAAAAACAACAGAATTGTCATTCTTTCTTCATACTTGATTTAAAATGAGTTAGGAAACTAATTTAAAATAGTCTACCCCACGCGGGACTTCGGTGCGTATCTTTCAGCTGCAAAAAAAAGACTATTTCAAGTCATCCTCCATGCAAAGATGCAAGACAGATTCGGAACGGTACCCTTGAAACCTTTTTCTTCCAATCATATGGCAGATTAAGTTGGTTTTCTAGGTTTAAAAGTGCTAAAATCTGATAATTCCTTAATGTTTTCCTGCCTTTATAGAAATGCGCAAGTTACTTTTGTGGAGAAACCGCACAATTGAAAATCATCAGTTTTTATTAAGTCACTCCCCTTTAACCCTTCTCATATTCTTCAATTTCCTAAGTTTTATAAAAAGAATATAGAATTATTTTTATGATAAAAATCAAACATAAAATATGTTTATGTAATTCGTGTATGTTTGCAGGCGCGCAACTAGACATTCAGTAAGGGGGGCAATGGGCAAATAATTCTTTCGCGCGAAGCTCGAAAATTTTTTTGGCCCCCCCCTAAACATTAAAAATGTCTGGGGGGGCAAGAAAATTTTGTATTATACTCAACCATGAAAAACTTCCTTACTAATTCAGGATATTTTGGGGGTAAATTTTTACATTTAGATTCATTGCAGTTTGGGGAAATTGTGGGAAAAAAATCTTTAATCTTTATTTCAGGGGAAAATTTTTCCAGTTAGTGGAAATCCTTGTTTAAGGGGCAACTTTTGATTGGGGGTTGGTGGGGCCTTTTTTTCAGTTTGGGCAATTTTGTGTATAGGAAATCTTTAATATTTATTTTTGGGGCAAATTTTTTTGTTATAGGGCATTGTAAAACCTATGTGGATCATGTGAGAGTCTCACTATTGACCAGAGTGACCGCCAGGGTGAGTTGTTCCCCAGAGCTCGTTCTCTACATGGAACGTGGTCGTATCGTTCACGTACTTTGGGGGACGATATGTTGGCCGCTAGATGTCTAAATTCTTATCTGATAGATAGATATTTATTATTTCTTCATACATTTGACGACCAATATAGCCTCTATAGTCACAGAAAAAAACAAGAGAAAACACTGTAAACTGGATAAAATATCAGTACTGAAGGTAAATTTTTTTTTTTTTAAAGTGCAAGCACAACTTCAACAGTGTCTAATAAGTTTGAGGGTTTGGTGTAAATTGATGCAACTGAAAACTTGGTATTTTAAAAAACAGTCTTTTTTTAAGTCCATAGTTTAGCGGGGGGGGGGGGCGAAATACATAGGGGAACCTGCAACATAGTATTAGCTTTAGAAACATTTAAGGATTAATTGGTAAAGCAGCTATACGTCTTTTTGGACAGTTGTGGAATTAGTTAAATTGTTTGAGAATCTCAAAAAATCAAATCAATATCTTTGTAAAAATAAAACACTTTAACTTCCATATTGATGAATGAGTTAAGATACAATTCTAAGAAGAACTCGAGATAAAGAAAAAGAGTGGATCAATTGCATTAATCCCGTTATCCACTTTTTAAAATTTCCCAGCCAGCTAACATAGGTTTAAAAAAACGTGGATCAGATTCAAACATGAACCACAAAGATTTAGTAATGCATCAAATGATATTTGCAAAATAGAAGCTTAAATTTATAATAGTGTTATGTTGATAAGCTTTGAAAAAGTCAAATATCTATGCGTCAAAAATTGTTATCGATGTTGAGATTAAACAGTACTAATTATGTTTATGTGTGTTTAAACAAATAGCTATGTCCATTGTACATGTAGTCATTATTTGTTCACAATACTACATACTCAGTTCAACTACCACACATAGTCGGTCACTCCCTTTAAGGACTTCTTGCCCCCCCCCCTACAGGGGCCGAGGGGGTCCTTTCCCCCATTGCACCTCCCTCCCCCCCCCCTCTAGTTTCGCACCTTTATGTATGTTGTTGTATGGTTACAGGCAAAATGAAACTAATCAAAATTCAAAGATCGGAAATTCGGAAGCGTAAACCCAGGTAAATAAAAATTTTGTTTAAGATATTGAAAGACATTCGAATTAACAGTATTCAGACTTCAGAGACAACTTTAACACTTAAATCTGAATCTATATATAGGCTGAAATTATTGAAAGAAAAAATTAGATCGATAACTTTCATAGTTTGGATGCTAGGGAGGGTCGAAAAAAATGTCAACAAATAGGGTCAGAATATTGAAAAAACATATTTCTTGTTTAAACAAATATCAAAGTGTGACAAATGTTTCTACATCCATTTTTCAAAGGCTCTTAAAAAATAAAGTTTTTAGATCTGTAGCTTTAGTCGCAAAAAGTTATGGGCTATTTTAGAATTCTTTTTCCCGAACCGGACTTTTTCCGCCCTGTACTCTACCCTATGCATTAAAAAAAAACTAATTATACAAAAAAAAATCCAGTAATTACTATTCATTGAAAGTCACAAAATTTCACGGTGATAGTGTCAAAAATGAGAGTAGTTGGACAAAAAAAACTACAGGGGGCGCCAAACGTCCCCCCCTGGCCTTTTTAGGGTAAAGAAATTTTTACTGTCTGTTTCTTTATATTCAAAGTTCCCTGAAAGTGCAACTGTTAACTTGTTTCTTTTTGAAGAGTTTCAACTAGCAGGTCGTCTTTATAATTACATCCTTTGTGGGTAACCCTGTTTCGATGCTCTATCGTTTGCACTAATGTCCAATTGAACTAACGTACTTTTGCAATAACGTCAGCTAATCAGTAACACGTGTGGCCGCAGCGCCCGGCCCCCTAGCCACGGCGCTCGGCCCCCTAGCCGCAGCGCTCGGTCCAGAAATTGTCTTAACCTAACCTAACCCTCAAATAAAACGTTAGTCCGAAGGAACGTTAGTGCGAATGTACGTTAGTCCGCTCAATCTTTAGTGCAAACGATACGACACCCCTGTTTCAGTGTGAATGACCTAAAATACGACATTTTAACGGTTTTCCTGATAGGAAATCTTTTTCTTTTAAGCTACAGGGTGTCCCAAAAAACATGGGAATTCAGTGACGAATTCAATATCGTCTTTGTTATGAATTAGCATTGTAATACCTAATTTCAAAAGCCATAATATTATTATGTCTGCTAGAGTTTATTTTATGAAAAGGGTAAAAGACTGTAAAGATGAGTCTATTATGTCTCCGCAAGATATAAAGTGAAGACGGACAAGTTTACTCTGTTTGACATATTTGTATACTGCAATTTTCTTGTTTTACTGTACAACTGTATGCAGTCAAAACATAAACAAACAAATTGTGAACATAGCAGACGAAACTCTTACAGATTACGGCTAATTCTCAGTAGGTATCACTATACTAAATCAAAGAATTATTTAAAAAGACGATATCGAATTCGTCACTGAATTCCCATGTTTTTTGGGACACCCTGTATAAAATATAATAGTTAAATCCTAGATATAACTACCTAATCTTTTTGAAAACATTCCTACGTTTTTACATTTTAGAGGCATTTAAAGGGCACAAGCAAGAAAAGAAATTCAATACTTAAATCTGGAAGGAGGAACCCGGGATCGCACCAATAACGTTTTTAACCACACATAAGGCCACTTCGTCAGACAAGTTTCTTAATCGTAGGATAACCTACGATTAATAAATCGTAGGTTTATCCTACGTTTTAGACTTGTCGCACGATTACGGAAGTACTGTTTCATCAGTCATAAATCCACCCTAAATAGAGGCTGGATTATCTATCCTAAATCTACCCTGAAACAGCTTATGCTTTCATTAGTCATCCTTTAAATCCTACGATTATCTACCCTTTTTCATCCAAACTGTTGTTTCTGCACATGCGCACTGGTTTCCACAAATTAGTTTGGCAAATCAAAGACGATCTTTGTTAACCTCAAATATTTTTTGCAAAATTTAAATAATCATGTTTTTTCCAAAAATCTGCCGAAAAATATTGTTTTTAAATTAAAAAATAATATTTTCTAAAAAACACTTTTTAGGAATAAAATATCAATATTTTCGTAAAAATATATTTTTTTTTATTTTTGAATTTTTTACAATAAAATTTCATTTTTTATTAAAAATGAACCTTTTTTCGATTTTATCATTTTTTTACATTTTTTATTATTTTTTTTTTTTTTTTTATTCTTCATCTTATTTCTTTCTATTTATTTTTTCATCTATCTATCTATTATCTTTCTATCTCTCTCTCTCTCTCTCTCATAATTTGAGCCAAACCCAACTAATCGTACGATCTAGGGTAGATAATCTAGGGTAAATCCACCCGTGCGGGTGGATTTATTTATCCTGCTATTAAGACATCGCGGCATTAACGTTAATGCCGCGATATATACCTCTAATGAAACAGTAGGGTAGATAATCTAGCCTTAAATCCACCTGGCAGGATTTATTAATCGTGCGATTTGGCTTCAACGAAGCAGCCTATAGTCATATACAGAAAACTTGGAAATAGGAAGACGACTTTATAGCAGCACTTTCTTGTATTTGATGTTACGTTACAAAAACAAATAGTTTTGATAGATTATACTTATTAAATTACATATCAAGTAAATTAGATTGGTTTACACTGAACAATTTCTGTTTCCCTTGCTTATTGGACTATTTAAAGTCATAATTTTAGTCTAAAAGTAGACCTCGATATTCCCCAGTTTTCTGGTTATCACTGTTTAAGCTTTATACAGAGCTGAGCAATGTTTTTTTTATTTTCTGACTTTAAAGGGAGTGTTCGCGAAAAATGAAAGGGGGTATAGCTGCTTAATGCGATAAAAAAGTGCTTTTGATCGCTACTAATCTGACTTCTATCTGATGCGTCTGTAAGAAGAAAATTGTTAAAAACGACTAATACCGAAGAACGTTATAGTGTCCATACAAATTCAGAAAGATGTATATAAACATTCGTATATAGTTAATATTTCATAATATTTTTGATTTTTTTTTTAATAATTTTCGCTGGCGCTGGATTTTCAAACATTCCTGGAAAATATAAAAATGTCGTCTTAATTATTAAAAATCCTCGAAACAGGAATAAATGTTTTCAAAAGTAACTCTCAAATCATGAAAAATACAAAATATTATGAAATATCAATTATTTACGAATGCTTCGAAAAATAATCGATGACTATTGTTTGTAATATCTGAATGATTTGTTTGGAATTAAATTGATTTGTTTACGATCCGAGTTGAATGTTGAATCTTTCTGAATTTGTATGGGCACATACGTTCTTCGGTATTAGTCTTTTTTTTTTAAATTTTCTCCTTATAGACGCAACAGATAGAAGTAAGATTAGTAGCGATCAAAAGCGCTTTTTTATCGCATTAAGCCTATACCCCCTTTCATTTTTCGCGAACACTCCCTTTAACTCGTGGTGACATGCCCCTCAATTTAAACATTTTCCCAGGTGCCTTATTTTGCCTACTTGTGCAAGTTTTGCAAAGAAATTTTGCACGTCTGGAGAAATGACGCCTTTTAAGGGAATTTGCACATTTTTAGTTTTTCTTCAATTATACATATCTACAAAATAAAACAAGACATTCCTATATATGTATGTTGCCTATAGCCGACCAAACGGCTGGACCGATTGGGTTGATTTTTTTGTGGACACTCATGCTTGGCCGGGGGGTGTAAGAGGGTAAAAAGAAATCAAATTTTTTTTTCAAAATTTTTTTACACAGGCAACGTCGGGCTCTTCAACTAGTTACATATAAACTTTTAAAAATGCTGATTATTTTGCATCTTTAAATTCACTGGTTCAAGGATTTTCTATATTTTTATACATATTTGTTAAATTCGCGTAATTTTGTTTTTATTGCACATAATGCAAAATTTCGCCATGAATATTTGATTTCAGTAAAAAAACTTTTAGAGAAAAAGTAAAGAAACAGGGGGGGGGGTGCCCCAAAATTATGTAAGGTATTTTCCCAAGCGGCAACTTCCCAAATTTGAAAATCTGTTCTAGTCGTAGCGCTCTGCATCTGCCCCCTAGCTGCATCACTCGCCCCCTCTGTCTAACCTATACTGAAATGTATATTGTTTGTATAATTTGGAAGTTGCCACTTAATTGGGAAGTCGTCCCTGGGAAAAGACCTTTAGGAAAAACTCTCCCAACATATCTAGAGAAGACGTCAGTAGGAATAGGTTAAGCATTTTAGCAATTCTTTAGTACCTAAAGTGAAATGCATGCCTGGAAACACTTGGAAGTATTTCTCTGGAAGTCTCTAAAAGGAAAAATAATGTTTTTTTTTTTTCTAGCGAGCCAAGACAGCTTAGTCCGGAGGAGAGCTATAGGTTAATTGGTGATGCTCTTCACTATTCGGAGGAGGAGAGAGAAGAGCTAGAATTAAAATTGAAGAGAAGTAATATTTTCATTGCATTATACCGAATATTTGGAAACAGGAATTGAAGATGGTTAATTTTTAGAAAATCGACAATATCTTCTACATTAATCAGATAAAGGTTTCAAGGATACCATTGTGAATCGGGCAATGAAATTACGTTACAGTCTCTATAAGATGTAAACTATTCAGTTTTGTTTTTTGTTTGTTTTATTGTTACCACGTTTCTCACGTTCTTAATAAGTAAATTAAAAATGTCCACTTATATTTTGAATTCCAGGTATCCGTTACCCAAGCCTCCCTAAATCTCCCTTCCTAAAGAACCTTGGTCTGATGAGACAAGAGAAGGACTCTAAGGACGAGATTGTCACGAAACCAAACCCCCAGAAAAGAATGACAAGGGCCGCACTTAAGAAGGTTAGTAAGATAAAATCCTTTAATGTTAAAAATCGGTTCAGATAGAATGCCGCTTGTTAAAAACTACTTAAAAGTTCTTCTTTATAAGTAATTGTAGAATCTCTAGTTTTGGAAAGGTTTCCCCACATATATTATTTTTTAAATTGTTCATTGCATACACACCAATATGTAATGTGCAATATACGTAATGCATGTATGCCGCAGCTATTATTATATGTTTATTGGTTATTTACACTCTACACAGAGTAATTTGATCAAAGGCCCCCTAATTACTGCAATTTAACATATTGGCTTATCAGAATTTCCAAGCTAGAATATACCCAATACGTACACACGTACATCATTATTATATAGAGTGTTGAAAGTTGAATCTCCGTGGAGTTATCTGAGTATATGTATATAATAGGGAACACCGTCTCTACCAGTTCATTTAGTTTATACCTCTTCATCCTACAGGATATATAGGGATCCAAATCTATTGGAGATAAATAAACAACTAGCAGGATAAACTACTGTACATTGAATATGAAACTTTCAGTGTCACGGAGCTTCGTTTTATATACATTGTTTATATGCATATACTGCACAGTGTACAGTCTGGACTAAGTGTTGAGCCGACCCAGCACATTTTATGCAACAAATGTAGCCTAACAAGATCACAGGTTGCAGTCATTTAAATTTTGAGTTTATCTGAGAGATAAATTGATAAGCCAATCCACCGTTTGTGCATTAATATGTTTTATTTAAGTTAAATTCAAGTTATCTTGATGATTAGCATCTATTTGGTCGATTTTAACTGTATCCGAGTCAGGATTTTTTAGATCTATCTTTCCCATTTTTATTTTGTAAAGGTATTCCGGAAGTTCTGATTTAGTTTTACAGTTTTTAAAAATATCTTTTGGGACATATATAGAGTGAAAATATGGCAGGCTAGAGGCCGAGCGCCGCGGCCAACAGAACAAGTACAAGCGTATTTAGTTTGTATTTTATTGCTAAAAAGAAATGCTCAATAATTAACGTTTGATTTGTTTTATATGTCAAGTGACTAGCGTTTCCTCTCAGGTTCGTTGTCCCCTACTTTCTTAATTGTTAACCCTTGCTTCTAGAGAATAGATAAACAAGTTAGATTGAAGAAACAAAGCTTCTCAGTTTGTTAAATTATAAAATCAAATTCCTAACGGATCATTCTAGATTTTGCTAGGGGTGTAGATATAAAAGGTCAAGAAGGGAGTAGACCAAAAATTAAATTTTAAGTTTGACAATAAAGTTCAAGTGATAAATGTAAATAATAAATAATAATAAATCATGTCCAGTTGTAGGAGTTGAGACGACTTGAAGGTCGTCTTTAATCTCGGCATACATTCGTCATTCTAACTTTACAAGTACATGATCAGTGAAAACCATTGAATAATTCTAGTCAATTGACATTTCCAAATTTGGTCTTGCGCCTTTTTGTGCTTTAAAATTTCCGAAGATATAAAGTTTATATGATTTTGTTCAAATCAATATGAAAAAGATTGAAGATATAGAAAGTTTAATCGTCAAACAACTTTTTTTATTTATTCTTTGTCTCTAGATAGCTGTCACTTAGGTTAAAGACGATTTATCATGTTTGTCGCTAGATAGCTGTCAATTATTTTAAAGACGATCTATCATGTTTGTCGCTAGATAGCTGTCAATTAGATTAAAGTCTAAAGACGATCTATCATTTTTGTCGCTAGCTTTCAATTAGATTAAAGTCTAAAGACGATCTATCATGTTTGTCACTAGATAGCTGTCAATTAGATTAAAGACGATCTAACATGTTTGTCGCTAGATAGCTGTCACTAAGGTTAAAGATATATTAATATTATTGTATTGTATTGTATTGTATTGTATTGTATTGTATTGTATTGTATTGTATTGTATTGTATTGTATTAAATATTTTTAACTGTGCAAATATCTTAGGTCGTCTTCTGTAGACTTTCTAGATCATGATGATTTTTTAACTAAGAAAAACTGGACCCAAGCAACTAAGGCAGGATAGAGTTTTGTCTCCAGAGCTAAAATGATTGAAGGTTACCTTAGTGGAAGATGTTTAATAATCTGTAAGCTAAGAGCAATAATGATGAAAGATAGAACAGGGCATAACGTTAAATTGTGCAGTTTTCTCCCTTCTCCGGCGTAATATCGGTTGGTAGAAAAATTAAGACGACATTATAAATCCCAATCGATATTTATTTTACTAAACAGGATGAGACTTCAGAGTCGACTGTATGTCATGCAATTGTGTTCTGCTTTCATGATTCCAAACATCTTTACTGGTCTTATTTTTTTTTTATCAAATCATTAAACAGACCCTTTCAATATGGCTATTTTAAAGGCAGAAGGCTGCCACCGTTCACCTCAACCATAAAGTAGGTTTAAAAAAAAACATCTGAGGTTTTTACAGATTTATGACAGTTGACTAAATAATATATTAATAGATTTATCATATGGTGAATAAAATGAAAATAATTAAGCATAAAAGCTCAAAAAAATTATACTGTCTGATAATATCACTTACACTTTTGAGTCAAACGCCTTATTTATTCTAAACTACACAACACAGTTTAAATGGGATTTCCAAAGATCATGCTATTTCCAGTCATAGTACCTACTTTCATAATCTGTGAAATCCTTAAATGTCCATGCTTGATCTACTTGATAGCTGAGGTGAAGGGTGTCGAACATGTTTAACCGTAAATAGTCATATTTCGAATGAGTTTTAGGTCGTCGTCGAGTTTCTGAGGTCTCATCCTTTATGATTAACTTTTTTTCCACTGGTTTTATTTATTTAAAACATTGTTTTTTTTTGTATTGGGTGAAACAAAGTTGTGTTTTGTTTTTACTTTTAAGAAAAATCATCTCGTCTTATACTAAGAATTTTATCTAATTTTTTAAATGATACTGAATTAACTAAATATTTAAAATTTTCGATTTAAATATTTATCCAAAATATACAATTGTTATATATAATCAGTTTTGTTACTATAAGTGTAAGTTTTAAACCAATATGAAGATTTTAATGATAATAGTTTTTTGTCGGTAACACGCCTTTGGGTAGTTTCTAAAGATCTGAACAAAAAATAATTAACTAAAATCAAATGAAATGAAAAGATTGATAAAGAAAGCGTACACTAGAAAGGGGTATAGGGTACAATTTAATCAAGTCCAAATCGATTAATATTTCTTTCTGTCTGAAGATTTAAACAAAGAATTTATGAATGGATAATTCTTCGCAATTTTGCTTCAGTGCTCATGCTCAGCCAACTATACGTATCATGTCAAAAAGCTCAATTAGAAAGGAATCGTGGTTTCAACTTATGGGAATTCTTTGAAGAAGATTTATTTCTTATCCACTACTAAAACATCTGAAAACATAGGATAGAAATAAAAATGAGGAAATAACATAATAAATAACCCCCCATATCCTTCCAATACTACCAGGATACAAGGTTAGTATATCCTTCCCATACTACCAGGATACAAGGTTAGTATATCCCTTTTATCCAGCTTCTATTCTTTTATCCAGCTTCTATCGTTTTATTCAGTTTTTATACTCTTTTCTAGCTTCAATAATTTTATCCAGTTTCTATCCTTTTATCCAGCTTCTATACTTTTATCCAGCTACTATCTTTTTATCCAGTTTCTATCCTTTTATCCGGTTTCTATCCTTTTATCCAGCTTCTATACTTTTTTCTAGCTTCTATCCTTTTATCCAGCTTCTATCCTTTTTTCCAGCTTCTATCCTTTAATCCGGTTTTTATCCTTTTATCCAGCTTCTATCCTTTTATCCAGCTTCTATACTTTTTTCTAGCTTCTATTCTTTTATCCAGTTTCTATCCTTTTATCCAGCTTCTATCCTTTTTTCCAGCTTCTATCCTTTTATCCAGTTTCTATCCTTTTATCCAGCTTCTATCCTTTAATCCAGCTTCTATCCTATAATCCAGCTTCAATGCTTTCATCCAGTTTCTATCCTTTAATCCAGCTTCTATCCTATAATCCAGCTTCAATGTTTTCATCCAGTTTTAAGCCTCAATAATCCTTCTCAACTCCGTTTTCTTTAATCTGTACATATATGTATTCATCACTTTTTAACCATTCCTTTATCCATATTTCCATTCATGTTTCACTATCTAACCACCCATTAACCACCCTTCTATCTATTCATCTAGCTATCTTTCCGTGTAACCTTCTTTCTTTCTATCCTTTATACTTTTTATCCATCTATGAACAAAATACACTGTACGCTGTACGCAACACGCATCTATCCGTCTATCTATCCATCTAACCAACTATCCTACCTGGGCTTTAGATTTAGATGAATTTATAAATGATGACTGCAGTACAGAAATCCAATTCTATAAGTTTCAAATCTAAATCCAGGGATTCAGGGACATTTCTTCATTTCTCTCTCAAGACATCTTTATTGTTTAAGAGATTCATTAAAATTGGATTAAACTTAAATAGAAGCAACTCTCTCAGTATATTTAAAAATAGACTACTAAATTCTCTTTTTGAAAATGACATTACAATGTGTTATAAACCGAATTGCTATTGATGTAAAACTGCTTCAATATGCTTTGATATTTGTTGTGTACATGTCAGAAAATTACTTTAAACTCTAGTTATTCTAATCAATGTATAAACTATTTTGCATCTGTATATAAATTTGGCTTGTCTGTCTGTTTGTTTGTTTGGGTGTCTGTTTGTATCCAATAAACGTCAAAACGGCTGAACCGATCGGGCCCACATTTTTTGTGGGACATCTAGGGACCCCAGTGAAGGTTTATGAATGATCAAAATTTCAAATATTTGTCTCCATCAAAATTTGATCTTCATTAAATTTTTGAAAATTTTGAAAATCCACGAAATTTTTTGTGAAAATCCGCGAATTATTTTTGTTTTGTTTTACGATGTACACAAAGAGAACATGTTCACAATTAATTTAGAAGATGGGCGCGAAGCGCCCTCTAAGGCTAGTAAGATAAAATCGCACCCTAATCTCTAATAGTTCTCCTTAAAACTATTCTATTTCTAAAATAAATAAACCCATGTTAAGGTTTGTAATAATACATGGGGTATGGTTGCATTATAGATACAGTACATACAGTGATGATCTGAAAACTCTGGAATACGAAGAAGACTTTTAGACTCAATTTATGAATTTATAGTCCAATGAACATAAACAAAAAAATTGCGATGTAAAAAAGGCCAAATTGACTTATATTTTATAAGTTACTAATAATACTATTTGCTTTGTAACCACAACAAATGCAATTAATTATTGCTTTAATGTCGTCTTCCTATTCTACAATTTTCTGGGTATGACTATTAGTTGACAGTTTGAACCTTAATTGTTTAAATAAGTCTCTTCTTTGAATTTTCTCTGGAAGGGTTTTCTTGGTATATTTTCTAAAACCTTCCGAGTCCCTGGGTTGAATTCTTCCTGTCCATGGTTTGAAACCTCTCAGGATATAGTCCATGGTCTAAACCTTCTCTGGACATTAGTCCATGGTTTAGACTGTTATTTTAAGGTTTTATCCCCCCCTGGATATTTATGGGTTTGAAATTATTTCTCAGTACCTGCAGTGCACCTGGAGAAATATCATCCTGAGAACGGGTTCACCAGTCCTGCAAAATATACCAGTTCTTAATTATCCAACCTGCTCCTAATCTTTCATTCCAGCTGGACCACCCTGGTCGATTAGTGTTAAAATATTGACATATTTGGTACATGATGAGAGGTCAAATAAGTGCTTGGCCTGGCCTAAAAATTTGTCGTATACTGTGCGATAAGGTCCATCCAGTACGAGTGTATGTAAAAATTGGATTGTGTTAAGAAAATGTGACAACTACTAAATAATCCAACCTGTAACGTTAACATGCATATATTTCTCATATTGTGAACTCTTGCCCTCGCCCGGCCCTTTTAAATGTTCCTGCGCTGCCTGCGGTAACAATTGAGCCTACATACGAGCTTCACTCAATGTCCCTCTTATCCTATCTCCTAAGTTATGTCAAGAAGCATTAACACTTTATTTTGCAGAGAATTGTGAACATAAAAAAAGCATAAGTTTATCATTGGTTGATGTATTGCATGTTTTTTGGTATAAAAATGTTGATTTTAAATATATTTTTTTGCAGAAGAGTTTATTTTTTATTTAGTCAGTGAAAAGTGAAAAAAAATCTAGGTGACGGAATGACCGTGATGACCTTGTCTGAACCTGGTCTTGAGGATACACAAGTATTCTTTACTTATTCATCAGCAGACAAAATGGTTCCTGTATCCTTCCCATACTACCAGGATACAAGGTTAGTATATCCATCCCATACTACCAGGATACAAGGTTAGTATATCCTTCCCATACTACCAGGATACAAGGTTACTATATCCTTCCAATACTACCAGGATACTAGGTTAGTATATCCTTCCCATACTACCAGGATACTAGGTTAGTATATCCTTCCCATACTACCAGGGTACAAGGTTAGTATATCCATCCCATACTACCAGGATACAAGTTTAGTATATCCTTCCCATACTATTATTATTATTATTATTATTACTATTATTATTATTATTATTATTATTATTATTATTATTATTATTATTATTATTATTATTATTATTATTATTATTATTATTATTATTATTATTATTATTATTATTATTATTATTATTATTATTATTATTATTATTATTATTATTATTATTATTATTATTATTATTATTATTATTATTATTATTATTATTATTATTATTATTATTATTATTATTATTATTATTATTATTATTATTATTATTATTATTATTATTATTATTATTATTATTATTATTATTATTATTATTATTATTATTATTATTATTATTATTATTATTATTATTATTATTATTATTATTATTATTATTATTATTATTATTATTATTATTATTATTATTATTATTATTATTATTATTATTATTATTATTATTATTATTATTATTATTATTATTATTATTATTATTATTATTATTATTATTATTATTATTATTATTATTATTATTATTATTATTATTATTATTATTATTATTATTATTATTATTATTATTATTATTATTATTATTATTATTATTATTATTATTATTATTATTATTATTATTATTATTATTATTATTATTATTATTATTATTATTATTATTATTATTATTATTATTATTATTATTATTATTATTATTATTATTATTATTATTATNAAAAAACCCCCCCCCCCCCTAATTCTTCCATAAATAAAACTCTATCTAAGAAGAAGAAACGGTTTTCAAGATCTCAATCTAGCTCTAGGACTGCAGAAAGACGATCTAGTCTGTCGCTCAACCCATTGTAAGGTTTTTTTATTTATTTCGCCAAAATAATATAAAAAAATTTTAAGGCAATTTTTTTCGTCTCAAATAAATTAATTTGTATAACTAAGTGAAAATGTCCTTATATCAGAGATCTGGACTTGGGGTTCCTCTCTACATCTACAACCCTTACCAGTCTTAACAACTGCGGGACTCCACAGTCTACACTTAACACCCCTGGGACTCCACAGTCTACACTAAACACCCCTGGCACTCCAAAGTCTGCATTCAACACCCCTGGTACTCCATACTCAGCATTCAACACCCCTGGAACCCAACACTCTGCATTCAACACCCCTGGTACTCCATGCTTGGCATTCAACACCTCTGGAACCCAACACTCTGTATTCAACAACCCTGGGAATCCTGGGACTCCATACTCTGACACGCCAATGTATACATTTAACACTCCTTTTTGTACATCTGGGCCTTGCTCCTCATACAGCACTGGTCAGCCTCATGGTATCGATCCTGCTACTCCTGGAGAATACAACAGTCCTGAATTTAACGATAATAAGACAAAGAAATCAATTCATCCCACTTCTCGATTCTGTACTCCTGGTCCGTATTTTACCAGTCCAAATCTCCCAACAGATAAATCCTATCCACAAAGATCAAATCAGCCTGCATCCAAGTGTTCAGTTGATTCAGCAGTATCAACCTCGTATCCAGAGTACTCTCAGGGATTAAATGTATCCTCTACTGGATCATATTCTACTTCAGTTCAGAAATCCAGACTTCCAGAATATTCTAGAGAATCTCATCCTCTCTACTCCCTAGCTGGAGTACATAAATACAAACAAGGTAAATAAATGTTATATACTATATATCGATTGATTACATTGTGCATCTGTGAACATGCTAATATTTGACGATGCCCTGTGGAAAATTTTTGGTTGGTTCATTAATTTATTCATATTTTATTCAACTACAAAGCATGAGATAATACAAATAAATGATCTCAGTTTACTGTGTAGTATGGACCCGCCTAACCAGAGTAGGTTGTTTAAATTGGTTGACCCATTATTAGCGAATGAAAACTGAAGATAAATGTATGTTCATTGAAAACGTAAAATTAATTATAAAGAGAAAAGGTAAGGAGGAGAAGTATAGGAAAAGGTGCGAGTCCGTTACACAGGGGCAGGGAAACATATATTATTAAAATTATGCAAATGTACTACACGGTGAAGGTGACAGTAAAGACATATTAATTTATTCACATGATGAATAGTTCTTTTTGTACATATATACCTTGCATAACTATCTATGTAGATCTTGGCGACTTTTCGTTTGAATGTTTTTGCAGATTTAGTTTCTTTTAGCTCTAATTCAATTGATTTTCATATTTTTGGAAATATAGCGCATTTTAATTATCTATAATGCGACATTTATTTCTTATTTCTCTTATAAAAGTTTAGATTTAAAACCAAAATTTCCCTTTTATGATTTATTGCCAAAACAACATGATATTAAACTTGAATACGTAAATTAACGTGTTGATATCTTTAGGAAAATCTGATGAGCTTGGAACCGAGTCTACAGGAACATTGAGGGTCTCATTTCCAGGTAATAAACTTAATCAGTAAGGTTCTTGTTTGAAAGAAAAACACTTGAGTAATATAAGTATTGTATCATTAAAAATTAATGCTACAAGTATTGAGTTCAATGGGTTTTATATTCTTTTATAATTACTTTCCTGATTTATATTCCGCTAAAAATCATTTATTTCCCCAATTCAGCTGATAAAACCCTAGCATAAACAACTTCTTAGGGGGTAAATGACTTTCTAAAGAGGGGGATGATTTTTCGAGAAAACCTACACCCCTGTTGACTGCACTGAAAGCTCTTTTTAAATGATATTACTAGAACTTGATGATGAATCTAAGTCTTCAAGTCCTGATCTGGAAGAGCCTAGGCCTAAGTCCAACCGTCAAATACAGGTAACTAATGCTGTCAATATCAATATTTAAGATGTAAAGTAAACTATATATGTAAACTAAAAAATAACTTGCCACAGTAGTTTTCTAAAATAATCTTTTCCAATTGAAAAAATTTCGTTACTTCTTCCAAATTAATCTTCTTATTTCCTATTTTATATTAATTTTCGCAAAAATCTACAGAGCGTCCCATATCATATCAGATTTTCTCCAATCTTTAACACCAAAATAAACCCTTAATACTCGAAAAACTTATCATTTTCCGCAAGAAAATTCTTATATAACCCTTATATTTTTTTCAAAATGATTCATTCTAATTAAATTTTCTAACTAGTCCCAAAAATCGTAATTTAGACCCGTTCTCGGTCTAATATGATGTGGGACACCCTGTATTTTGACCAGCGAAGTGGCTGGAAAATTTTGGGAAATGTCACCTAGGAAATTGTACATATTTGAGGTTGCTTGATAAGAAAATTAATTGGGAATTCTTATGAATTGAAGATGCCAATTGGAAAACAATGTTAATCTCATTTCGGTATTTGAAACAAACTCTTAATGATTTAGACTGAGATGTTGAACGCTCTGACCGGCCTGGGGGTAGAAGTCAGGAACTGTACAAACCGGTTTCAAGAGATGAAAACAAGGTTGTGTCAGGTTGAAGAGTTTATATCAGCCAAGAATCAATGTTCTCCGAACCCCAAAATCCAGGTCATCATATTCAAGTTGGATATTTTAGCTTTAAAAAGAGAGCATCTTTTCAATTTGATTTGGTATTCTTATAAAGTTGAAATTCAAGAATCCGTTCAAATTTAATTGATTTTTGGAATTTGTGAAAAAACGATTTTTTTAATTCGTCATTTACGGAAACGTGAGCTATAGGTAAGATTGGTATCGATAGATTCCGAATTCAAGAAATGTTATTTATAAACCCGGATAAAAAGTATTAGTATCAGAATATGAGCAATATATTCTGTTTCTAGGATATCTACCCGGCCCTAGGAGACAGGAATGAGATTGAAGAGGAAGAGGAGGAGTTGAACCTCAAGGATGAACTGGTTCTCAAGGTATCAGATCTGGAACCTTGTCGGTCAATAAACCCTGATGTTAGCAGTATAAAATCTGGATCTAGAAGTAGGTCTGATCTCCACAGGCTCAGTAGTGTCCTAGAGAGGTATGAATTGACACCAAGTCCAATAACTGTACTGTAGTTTCTAGGGTAGAAACTCTGCTTTTGTTCTTATTCATTCCAGAAATTGAAGTACAAACTTCTTGGGGGGGGGGGGGGTGTATCTTCAATGCATTTTTAGGGTTATCCAACTTGTTCTACACTGAGAACCAGAAAACTGTGGAATAAGAAGACGACACATAAGAGCAATACTTAAGTGTACTTGATTTTGTTACAAATCATATAATTTTACTTGTAATATATTAGATCACTTCACAAGTTAAATGAGTCTGTTTACAATGCACAATTGCTGTGTCTCATGTCGTCTTCCATATTCCAGAGTTTACTCTTGTATTTCTCATTTTCATAAATCCCTTACCGGCCCTGCAGCTGTAAACTTTTCTTTTTTTAAATCATTTAATTTTTCATTTAAAAACTTTATTAAGGGCAGAACCCTTAGTTAGGTCTACGGATCGTCATATTCAAAGAGTTTTAGGTTGGATTTAAGTCTCATCCTTTGTGGGTAACCCAGAACCCTGTATGTACATTTACTGATCATTTATCCATTTACAATGGATTGTGGTAGGAGGATGAGGAGACTGAATATTATATTATTGTATAATCTAGAGCTGGGAGGAAGGAGGAAGAGGATGAGGAGGCTGAATATTATATAATTGTATAGTCTAGAGCTGGGAGGAAGGAGGATGAGGAGGCTGAATATTATATTATTGTATAATCTAGAGCTTGAAGGAGGATGAGGAGACTGAATATTATATTATTGTATAGTCTAGAGCTTGAAGGAGGATGAGGAGACTGAATATTATATTATTGTATAATCTAGAGCTGGGAGGAAGGAGGAAGAGGATGAGGAGGCTGAATATTATATTATTGTATAGTTTAGAGCTGGGAGGATGGAGGAGGAGGATGAGGAGGCTGAATATTATATTATTGTATAATCTAGAGCTGGGAGGAAGGAGGAAGAGGATGAGGAGGGTGAATATTATATTATTGTATAATCTAAAGCTTGAAGGAGGATGAGAAGGCTGAATATTATATTATTGTATAATCTAGAGCTAGGAGGATGGAAGAGGAGGATGAGGAGACTGAATATTATATTATTGTATAATCTAGAGCTTGAAGGAGGATAAGGAGGCTGAATATTATTATCATTGTATAATCTAGAGCTGGGAGGAAGGAGAAGGAGGATGAGGAGGCTGAATATTATATTATTGTATAATCTAGAGCTGGGAGGATGGAGGAGGAGGATGAGGAGACTGTATATTATATTATTGTATAATCTAAAGCTGGGAGGATGGAGGAGGAGGATGAGGAGGCTAAATATTATATTATTGTATAATCTAAATCTGGGAGGATGGAGGAGGAGGATGAGGAGGCTGAATATTATATTTTTGTATAATCTAGAGCTGGGAGGAAGGAGGAGGAGGATGAGGAGGCTGAATATTAAATCATTGTATAATCTAGAGCTGGGAGGATGGAGGAGGAGGATGAGGAGGCTGAATATTATATTCCCTCCACTCTCAAGATATTGGGCTACAGACAAAAAGGTTTTAAAAATGTTAACATTTAGACAGGGGTTGACAGGGTTACCCACAAAGTATAAGATTTTAAAGACGACCTGTAACTCATAATATATGATAACTTTAAGATTAATTTAAGTCTTCTGTCCTTAATATTCTCTATTAATGACTTTTTTAATGATTTGGCAAAGAAAGAAACAAGTTTACAGTTGCAGGATGAATGTAAGGAAACACACGACATAAATTCCGGATGGCCGTCTCTGAACTCTCATTCTTTGTGGATAACCTTGTATATCTTTATACAATTTTACATTACATCATAACTTTTCACACCAAAAACGGGAAACTAAATAATCAGTAACAAGTAAACCGTAAGGTATTATTTTCATTCAAACCAAACGACAAAGGATCAAACGATCAAGGGTAAAACGACATTGGGTCAAACAACAAACGGTCAAAAATGCGACAAAGGGTAAAACGACAAAGGATCGAAATGGAGAAAAAAATATTTTATGTATTATTTCAGGGTTAGGTTAGGTTAAGAATATTTCTGGGCTGTGGCTACTAGCTCTAATGAACTTAAAAATAGTTAAAGTTAACCAACAATAGTCTAGATGAAATGTTGCCCGTTTTCGCACTTTTTGAACCTAATGTCGTTTTACCTTTGTCGCGTTTTGACCGTTAGTTGGCCAACCCTAGGTCGTTTTACCCTATGTCTTTTGACCCTATGTTGGTGAATCGCTCTTCAATTAGTAAGCTGGGGGGAAACGAATGCTTTCCCCTTATTTTCAGAGTAGAGGGGGGGGGGGGTATAAGTTAGAATTTAGAATTTACACTCTAACAATTGGATCTTTTAAGGTAAGCTCTATAGAAGAGTAATTTCTGAAAAAAACAGTCCAGGTAAACAATGTCGTCTTAGCACAAGCAATATTGTTAGGAAAGTCGCCTTTACTAAAAAATTTATTGAACTGTTATGAAATCTTTCGGTAAAATATAGATAGTTTAATCATAGTCAAGAAGCACTTCAAATATATTTGCATGCTTGACGAGTATTTTGAACTATAGTTCTACATTAGATTACGTTCGTATACGTTCATTTTAACATGTTAAGTGTTTATAGCCAAATGGTGTCATTGGTCAATGATCATCACATAGATTCAGCCTGAAAAAAAACACTTCATTTTTTAAGACAGGGTCGATTTTGAAATTTCGCAACGCCTTGGGCTTCGATTTTACCGCTATAACGTTGGCTATAACTCACTTATGCTTTTCTGTAGCTCTTGTACATGTACATTTTAGCACTATAAACCACTTGTTGTTAGCTTTAGTTTTTAAAAAGTATTTGGCAAAATTCTAATCGATTTTGCTTGCGAGCTTGAGACCTTTAAATCACTGTGTTATGTGAATAAAATATATTTCATTGGAAATAAACAGTGAACACTTATCGACACTTAGATTTTTAAAAATCATCATCGCTATTATTCTCCTGCACTGTTGTGGCAGACATCTTGACTTTTGCGGATTTCCGGTTTCTTAAACTCTCAGCCGCCATTTCGTTTACCTGAAAGGCAGAATATGTACTAAATATTAGTTTTTGATAAGATTGTGAAAAAAATTAGGGGTGGAGGTAGCTTAACTTAACTTAGCTTTTCTTTAAACAAGAATCGGTTTTTAAAAAATTTAAACATGACTTTGTTAAATAGATGAAAAAGTTAACTAAGTAATGAAAGGATAAGGAGAAAAATTCCCATATAAAAGCTTTCCTGCTTGTTTTCAAAAATTAAACCGAAAACCCCTGATGATTTTCCATATAGAAGTATAAATATTACTAACCTCAAGTTCCTCACTCTCAGCTGAATCATCATCCAGCAGCATATCACTGTCAGAGTCCAGGCTATCATCATCCACTCCACCTTTATTCATTACTTTTTAAGCTTTTTCAACCACATTTTTCAGGCTAGGCTTCTTATGTTTTGTTCAAAAGAATACGAGAATTTATTCAAAGAGTTTACAATTACTTTTTTATTTTTTAATCCAATTTTAAGTGTAAACATTTGGATTAAGTTTGGAAAGAATTATCCTATTTTCAATCTTTATTTCAAACCAATTGAGTCTCAGCAACAAACTCTGATTCCAATTCCTGTACCTTTTTCAACCCAATGTCGTAGGCCTTAGATATCTCTAAATATACATGAATTCTGTTTGTAATAGCAAAGGTTTACACCATCAGGTTACAAATATATAGGGATTAGACAATTTCAGTTAGAGCAACGACTCAATTCCTTTTCCGAACAATTTAATTGAATCGGAAAATGAATTAGAAGCCCAGTTTAAATATGACTATATGATAAAGGAGATTTTATAGAAGATTTTTTTTAGTAATTTCCCACTACGAACCAGTCATACTGCCATAAATTCGTCTATTAGCAGCTGGACCCGACGGACGATTCTTGGCGGATTTTCCAGGACGCTTTGCATTAGCAGTAGCCGGAGCTACAGGCTGAGGAGCTCCTTTTTCTTCCTCATCTTCATCATCATCATCGTCATCATCCGTATCATCCAGATCATCAAGTTCACTCTGAAGTCGCTCCGGCTCTAGAAAAAAAATTGTCAAAAATTCTTAAATTTGTGTTTCAAGTTTACCTTCCATTGATCTGAGGGTTTCATCCTGTTTCATTTTCTCCATGATCTTCCTTGTGGCAGACTGTCGTTCTTCCATCCTCTCCTGTTCTGCTCGTTCAAACTCTTCGATCTAAAATTAGTAAAATAAAGATGGGGTTTTATAGATTACATAAATTTTGTAGACTATTATGTAACTTTGTGTGCGTTATAGGCCCAATGTTTATTTGCCAAACCATTCATTGAATGGAAACCATAATATTTAATAACAAAATTGAACATCAAGTGCAATAATTTTTACTCAGGTTCACGTTTTTGAATTTTCTACCTGTTGCTCCAAGAAAGCTAGACATCTGAACCTCATCATATACTCCTCATAACACTTTCTTAAATCAACTTCAAGCTTCTCATATTCATCCATAAATGCAGGCCGAACCTTAAATAGTATTTATTTAAATTAATGTTATTTTATTTTTGATTTTGTTACCTTATATTTATTCATTTCTGTATTATCTGTATTATTTTTGTCATTTCTGTATTGGTATTTATTTAAATATTTATCAACGTTTGTACATGTTTATATCTATTCATTTTGCATTATTTTTGGTGTATTTTTGGATACATTTATTCATAATTTCTATATCTTTTCTATGTTTATATTTGTTTATTTCTGTTTTGTTTTTGTTATTTATCGCCAGGATTTAGTAGAATAGAAAGACGACTTTAACCCAATTTGATTATTTAAGATTTGTGTTGAATTTGTCAAGAAATTACGGTTAATTTGAAACATTATTGTTGATCTCTTTGTACTTTTTATGCAATCTGAGCTGAAAACTTTAGAATGGTGGATATCGAGATTAATGATTGATCCTCTCTTTTTCTTAATATCGAGACTAACCTAATCTACAATTGTATCCTAAAAAGTGTATAAAATTCAAACAATCAGAGTCGCGTATATGAAGCCGATAAATTTGAAATTTTGCGCGCCATTTAAGATTAATATACAGAAACAGGAGGAACTCACTAATTTTAAACCCCGGTTTTTGATTTTTCTCTACTATATCCAAGAAAGAACGGTTTAGAAAAAATCAAAAGTGTGTCCATTGGATACTCAGATTAAGTAATCGAGATAAGGCATATCTCATTCAAAAGTTTTCAGCTCGTTGGTTAAATCAATAATTTAACCAGTGGCTTAAACATCCACAAAATGGCACAATTAATATTTAAAATTTTCATTAGACTAGTAAAAAAACTAAAGTATAAAAGTCGTCTTCCTATTCTACAGTTTTTGGGTCCCGTTGTATTTATGCAACACTGTATTTTTTGTTTTGTTTTTTAAGATAAAAATTGTTAAGCTAATTGTTTAATACAACATACACTTCAGTTCATGCAGCAAATTTAATATTCTTTCAACATTAAATTTAGAGCTCTCAGTTTTTTTTTTTGTCAAGGAAATATCTCAATTTTTAGGTAAAAATTAAAAATGGAATGAATTGAAATCACTAAGGTTCGTTGAATTTTTACCATAATCATTACTAACCCTACCAATATTAGGTGTCAAGATTAAAATTTTTAAGTTTTAGCTAATTGTTTGATACAGCATACACAGAGTTCATGCAGGAAATTAAATATTCTTTCAACATTAAATTTGGAGCTCCGCTCTTTCTCAGAGGGGTATATATTTTCAAGAACATGTATTCTCTTTACCTACTAATATAGTTTAGTGTCAAGGAAATGCCTAAAATGTTTGAGGTAAAAATTTCAATGTATTGAAAAAAACAAAGGTTCATTGAAGTTCAACCATAATCATCACAAACCCACTAAAGCTAAGTATTAACAAATTAATAGTTTTGAAAGAATGCTAATTCTTGTGAATATATACAACCCTGACTTTTTGAATCCGTGACTAACAAAAATTCTAAATGTGAGCGGTAATAGAAGGAACGGTGTTTTATGCATTCCTTTCTGCATTTAAATCCTGGAAGAACAATAAAGATCTTCAAGCAAGAGTTATTTTCACATTAACTGAATATCCTCCTCCCTCCCTCCTCAAATTCTGAGAATAATGTTTGTGGTTTTTAGAACCAAAATTGGGAGAAACTGTCAATGAAAGAATAACAGAGAGATCTCAGCAAACAAGTTTTTTTTCTCAAAACACTCATTCAACCCAAACAAATTTTGAACAAAGTTTAGATCATCGCGTTCCATTTCTATTTTGGGATAAACTTCTTATAAGTTTAAAGTTTTTATAATGAGAGTTTTTTTCTAGGGCCAAAAAATGGCATTTTACCACTTACCGGTTACCACTGTTTGAAAATTTCCCCACTTTAATCTCTACAGGAGGGGGTTCTGTCCTCCCCTCAAGAAGAAGGGTCGACGCCCCCCCCCCCTATAGAATTAGCATCAACAACAAAAATTTGAAAAAAGTATGAATTAAATATTAATATTAAGTACTATTAGATTTTATCTAACCGAAAAAGTATCCAAGAAGTTTAATTCTAAAATGAAAATAAATTAGGTTAATCCAATCCATTAGATTAAAGAAGAAAAACGTTAAAACTTACTGAGAAACATAACATCGTATCATCATCATTTACCTTTTTTAAAGTAAGGAGTCGTTTCTGATTTCTGTCCAGTTCCACTTTCTTCTTCTCAATTTTAGCCTCAAGATTTGCCTCGTTAGAGGCCACATTCTCAATATTATGCTGAAGCTTCTTAATATCCTCCTCAACACCCTTGACAGAGAGCTTGAGGCCAGCCTCGACATCCTAAACATCATTGAAATACTTGCGTCTCTAAACCAAGGTTGTATAACAATGTAAAATCCGTATATGACGTCACTGATTATAGAGGCGAGAGTATTTTATGCTAAGGAGACAACATTTCCCGTATATGGAAAAGCATTAAGAGTAAGCAACCTTAATATACAACCTTGCTCCAAACAAACCTTTCGCGTCTGCTAAATAATCAGAGCTAGTTGTGAGCCTGAGAGGACTGAAAAGTTTTTGGGGGGAGATGGAACTACAAAATCAAAACTTTATATCCCTCATGGAAACTTTGAATTTGAGAGTTTGAATGAATTCAAAGATTTGCGTATATGGGGATGAATTTAACATCAGAAGAATACTGGACATGGATTGGGTTGAAATTAATTGATATGAATATGGATTTAGGAAATTAAATTTGTGGAACTAGGCTTTTAGGGGGCTTCACGCCCATCTTCTATTTCAACTATTCATTGTGGCTTTATCTGTGAGCATCTTCTTTTAGAAAAGTATAAAACAATATTTTAAAAAAAGTTTGCGGATTTCATAATATTTTTTCGCACATATCAAAATTTTTCAAAAATTAGATAGGCGTGCTCTGTCTTTTTTTATTTTGTTTTATCATCGTTCATGAACGGCACATTTCTTTCGGTTTTCTTAATCGTTTAAAAAAATTTAATTAGTTCGTTCTCAAAGTTTTGTTCATTTTCCATCTATTTCGTTCGTTTTCTTCCAATCGTTCACGACGAATTTCGTTCTTCAACAAAAACGATGGAGGATGCCCATCTCTCCCCCTGTAAAGGAGGGGGGATATAAACTGCCAAGACAAAATTCTAGTATTCGCCACAGACCTAAGAAAAAGATTAATAATCCCATCTATTTCAATTCTGTCGTCCAGTTTGTCTTAAACCTCATTTTTCTAATCTAATTTTAAAGAAACAATCTGCACTTCATTTTTTACACTGTTCTGAATAACTATCCCACCGATAATTCCTGCTTTTTGGAGACTTCTCTCTCTTAATATAAAGAAATAAGGATTCATGGATAAAGTTAGAAGAAGAAGAAACAACTATAATTTCTCAATATTTCTAATACCACCTGGACATGGTGTTACAACTTTTGTTTCTACATGTCACAACTCTCAATGGAAATAGGTATACATTTTTCTTGTCTGTTTCTTTGTTTATATCTTAAAAAACGTCAATTAAAACTTTTTTGAATACGACCATTAGAGAAGGTTGTTAGTCGGTCCAAATTGATAAAATTTGACCTTAAAGATTTTTATAAATCCATTAATATATACAAAAAATTTCGCAAAATTTTACAACTATAATAAAAAAGTATAAATTAAAAAATTGTCACAGTTAAAAAATATTTATAAACTTATTAAGTTATTGCAAAGAAAGTTGAGTTTTTAACATTTTGTGTTGAATATTTTGTGCAACCTTCTCATACGAACACAAAAAAATCAAACGAATTGCTGAAATAAGTGTCAAAAAATCAATCATAAAGGTAATTTTATGCTCAATAACCATCTTTTTTAATCTAAATATTTATATTTCCGGACTTAAAATTTTTACAATTTTTTTACATGCTGTTTTAAGTTTATAGCATTTTATATAAATTACATTTTAAATTACAATCTCGTAAACTAAATTGAAAGAGCTAAATTTTTTTAGTCATGAAAGGAATAAAATTCCACGAATATATGTATTGATAATACACGTCAAACTAAAGTAAAAACGTAAGATTAGAATCTTAAATGTTTTTAATTAGAACTCATCTTTTTAAAGAGCTATTGAGATGAACAAAAATATTTTTAAATTATAATATATAAAGTTTGTTTTCATCACGCTTGTGCATAAACTCAAAACTATAGAAGCTACGAGGTCACAAAGTTGTACCAGTAATGTTGCACAAATTTGACCTCCCTCAGAGCCCGCGATTTAAAAAATTTGGGAAAATGGGGCTCGGGTCTTAGCTGTCGTTGGGCCTTATTTACGGCTTGAGCTTTTGGATTCAAGCTGCATCTTATTTTCCACAGAGTTCAGTTCAACGAAACAGTTTAATATTCTATTTGGCGGATTTTCATGGTAGGAATTGACGCATTCCGGGGTTTTTTGAGAACAAGACTCGACATTGAGCCTTATTCTCTACTATAACCATCCAACGTCGGTTTTATTTTAATTGGGCCTAACTCCTTAAATCGAGCCGAAGATCTTGAAGCTGTCAATAACGTAACACAAGCAAGAGTTGGGTCGAAGATTGGGTCTTAAAGTCGGGTTTAAGGAATTACGGCTCTAGCCGAAGTTATTAAATCGTGGGCTTTGGCCAGTTAAATGTGAACATATTTCTTTAATAGTACTTTTAGTTCACCATTTTTTTTTGTTTAATCTTCCCCTTTGAAAGTCTCGAGTTAAAACTATTTGTTTTATTTATGTCATCCATACAAAATACAAATACAACTTTATATTTTCTTTCTTTTTGTAAATAAATTCTAGCATTGTGATGTCAAACCATTTATACCTTTAATCTATCACAAATATTGACAGACTTGACAATAGAAGGTTCCCTTTTTCTTTACAAATGTTTTTCTTTATTTTACTCAGTCATTTTCTTATGATATTCAAACATACTTATATATGTGAAGGAGAAAACTACAGCTATGAATTGTATATTTTCATGTAGATTTATTTTGATATTCGTTATTGTTTGTATTTAAGGAATTATATTGGTTCTTTTTTCAAGATCTTTGACCTTTTTTAACTTAACTTTCTGATAATTCAATATTGCAGATATTTTTTTTTACATGATTATTTAGCTCTTTTCTTTAAAAATGTTCCCGCTATTTATTAATTTTTGCAATTACTGAGATTACGTATATTAGTAAAGCACCCATTGATAAATTGTCAAGACGACAGTTCTTTCGATGCCTCAAAATCTCTGGGGTGAACCGTATGTATGTATATACTTTTGCAAATACAAGGCTAAAATTAAAATAAATCCAGAATGCAATCAGTTTTCTGGAAAAATGGAGTATACGTTGACAAACAGTTTTATACTTGTTACCTGTATTTCAAGATTTTTTGAGAGAACAGCTTGTCTCTTCTCTCGTAGATCAACTTCCCTTCCCAGCAGGTCGTAAAGGGTAGCTCCCTTATTAAATTAATTCTTGATATTTACTCAATTTGAAAGAAAAATATCTTTAAAATTGGGAAAAATCGATTTTCCTCAGTATTGTAAGGAATTGAGTCTCTGCCACAAAGATTTTCTAACCCCTATATCTTTACAACCCGATGTGGTAGACCTAAGATATTTCAAACTATAGATTCTGTATGTTGGATCAAATAATCTCAGTTTGAAATATCAAAGGTTTACACCATTGGGCTACAAAGCTATAGGGATTAGAAATCTGAGATTGTGGAAAAAACTTAATTCCTTTAGAAAAGAAGAAATTAGAATTAGCTCCCTGACCGAATGATTCCACGATTTTTCTAAAGTAAAAATATGATATTTTCTCAAAATTGGAAAAAATGGTATTTTCTCAGTATTGGGAGGAAGGGGAGCCAAGGAATTAAGTTATTGTCACAAACTCAAATTTTCGAATCCCGATATCTTTGCATCTTGACGGTATAAACCTTTGATATTTCAAACTTGGACGTTTTGATCTAACAGAATTCACAGTTAGAAATATTTAAAGTTTACAACATCGGGTTGTAAAGATATAGGAATTATGAAGTCAGAGTTTGTGGCAAAGACTCTATTTCTTTTGAAGAGAAGTAATAAGAATTATTTCCTTCATAGTGATCTTAGTTCCCAGTTTTCTTGTTTGTTTGAGTTCTGAGAGTTTTGATCCAATATCAAATGTTGGAAGGACGGATCCACCCTGCTCATCTTCTCCCTCGGAGAGAGTATTCGTCTTCATTGCAGAATATAACACTGCTGCCACCTGGTAACAGTAGATTTAGTCTTCGAGGAGAATTTTAAAAGTTTCTGTTCTACGTGAACAAGGAGTCTTGAAGTATTAAAAGTGAGTGACCGGCTAGACATCGTAGTTGAGCTGAGAGTGCACGGTATTACAGAGAAATTTTTCAGGATTCCCTTGAGACATGTGAGACGTTTTTACGGTGTATAAATCAGTAAGAGCGCAAATTAAATCTTTAAAATACTTCACAGCAAGATCAATGAAGATTGTTGTTAATTTAGAAATTAAGTAATTGATAACATCTTATTTAAGGGGGGTGGAGCAAAATTCATAATAATGATATTTTCTCATTTTTCAATAAACTGTGTTTTTTACCATACAGTTTCGAGCAACAATATCTGCATCAAATATATGAAAGCTTGAAGAATATTAAAGTGAGAAGAACTACTTTGTCTAGTATAGAATGAATTTTAAGAGTCGCATTCATCCATGAATAACAATAACAAAGCATTTAACTGATTTTTCTCCCTTTTTGTCACATTTCTTGTAAACTTGAAATGTGAAATATTTGAAATAACAATAGTTTTGAATATAAGAAATATACTGACTAAAATATATCTTAAGATAAACTTTATTACATGAAGAGAGTTAAAACAGAGCACAACATTATGCTGCATTGCAATTATATTGATTAGATTTGTTTTTTGTCCAGCATACAATAATATAGTAAGGAATTGAATAATGCTCCAGTCCCTTAATTAATAAACAAAAAGCTAGATCAGCATAGATTAAATATTTAGGAGGAAAAGTCCTTGTTTGATAATAGATATTGTTTATTCGTCTGATTTGTTAGTTGAAATTAAATCGAATTCCAAACCATAGATACAATTCTAAATTGTTTTTTCCTGTTCATAGTTACTGTCTCCAAAGAAAAATATGAACGGTTATGTAGAATGTAACCGTTTTTTCTCACTTTTACACAATAAATGTTTTTTGTTAATTGGAGAGTGTAATAGAATTTGAATGGTTCTACTTTCAAGAAAGAAAAAGAAAATTACTGGGCCGGGCCAGAGGGCTTAGAACTTTTGAATAAGACAGAATGAGATAAACCCGATCTTTTTTTCCCGAGAGATTTACAAATCTGTTATTTGTCAGACCTTCAGAGCTTTATAGGAGGGATTCGAATATTTAGGAGTTGAATGGTCTCTTCAGTCTTCACTAGTTACAGAAAAATCTAACTTTTGAAAGACAATCATGACCTGAGGAAGAATTTTAAATATAACCGAGCGAAATATTTTTTTTTGTATATTATGTATTAAGCTGCTGATTTAAATTATACTATTCCAATACTAAGTATATATCATCAAAACTGTTAGATAAAAACTGAAATGAAAAGCATTGTGAAGAAGCAAAGAATCCGAAAAATAATTTCTAAGCCACAACTTCAATATAATAATTAATAAATGGGATGATCTCATGATTTAAAAGGTGAATGTATGAAAAGTAGGAAATTTTTATGAACTTTTCTGCAAATATTACAAGCCTACAAACCTTTTCTTTTAAACAAAACTTTTTTCTTCATTTTTATTTTTATTTTTTTTTATTCTGTTTGCCACTTTGCTTTTCATCCTGATCCTAAGGAAGTTTTGTGCAGGATATACAGGGTGTCCCACATCAAATTAGACCTCGTCAATGGGTCTAAATTACGATTGGGGGACAAATCAGAAAATTTAAGCAGAATGAATTCTTTTGAAAAATTAAATAAGGCTAATAGAAATAATTTTTTGCAAAAAATGCTAGATTTTTCGAGTATTATGTGCGTATTTAGGTGTTAAAGATTGGAGATAATCTAATATGATATGGGACGCTCTGTAGTAAATTATATCTATAATGGCGTTAAACTGACCCTCGGAACCATTAAATAAACTAAATTAAAAACACACACTCAGAAACCTAAAATATCTGTTAGAATAAAAACAAAAACTAAAATTGATAATTTTTTGGACCCAGCCATTCCCCTTTGCATCAGTGAAATATATGGTTTCCAAGGGGTTTAAAGGTCCCAACGGGTGCGGAGTCCCCACCGCCCCCCCCCCACGGAAAGAAAAAATGTTAAGCTCCGGGGCCCCGTGGACAAATTCTGATTTTAAAATCGTTTTTCTTTTCATTTTTCATTATAAGCTAAGAGAATAACAAAAAATTCAGTAAAATTTGTTTGAAAGTCAAAGTTCAAAAGTTCAAGAATTATTTGAATTTTGAAGATCTTATTTGTAACATAACATGTTTACCGTGACACACTGTAGACTCAATCTAACTTTACAAGATAAGTTTATGAGTGTGTAAAGTTGGCGCAGAAAATAATAATGGAACTTGATTTTTCAATACTTGATGTGCTAATATTATGCAGATTAATCTAATAATCCCTCCCGCCCAAGGAAGATATACCAGGAATTCTATAAATCAAATATCTGAAGGATCCCGGGAGGAATTTTTAAACACGCTTTTAGTGTTATAAACATACTCCTGATGTAACAGAAATTAGTAAACACAAACACCCTTTTAGCATTTTTATTCAATATAATTTAACACCTAAAACAAAAGTACTTTTGCTTTCCTGCCCCCCCCCCCTCCTAAAAGGAAAGGTGTTTTGCCTCTACATTGTTTCTGAGCTGGGAACTTTTGTATTTATCTCCTTCTGATCAAAGCTCCCTTCATTCAACCCGGACTCATTAAAGCTCCCTTCAACCCCTGACTAGGAGACCGAATAATGGTCAAGTTAATCTGTAGATTAACAAAATATCCACAATATAAGACTTAAGTTCCCACCTCTTCCGTTGTATTTTCATGAACTTTTCTTACTTTTATAAGTTCCTTGACTGCATATCCGTCTGATTGATAGAGTTTCTTCGGGTTGAGTTTAATATGTGCCTTGCTGGCCATAAACTGGACAACTGTTCTAATCAGGATTACACGATCCTAAATGTAGATTTAAATAACATTTAACACAAGCTGGCATATAAACTTTAAATATATACAAACATACAAATCTTTTCCCCCAACCCTCTCAATTTTGTTACCCCAATCTGTACATTTGCCTAAAGTTTTTAAAGTTGAGAGAAAATTTTAAACCATTAAAAAAATTGGGTGGAAGGGAAGTAAAAACTGAGGGTCATAGCATTGAACAATTTACCCGTCACTTTTTGCTTTTTCTAAAGAACTTAAGATAAATTATTAATTGGAAATTACGAAAATAATATCCATACATGATACATAATGTTCTACAAAAGAAAAATCTCAAAAATAGTAGAATTATCCAAAAATACTTTAATCTAAGTTAATACATAAATTTTGAAATAATAAAAATTTTTGTTTTCATTTTTCCCCGACCTGCTCCGAGTCTAGTTCCGTGGGTAGATCAGCGGAGGGTTCGAACCTCTTCACCAACCAGAGGAGCATCTCCGCCACCAGGGGGAAGTTTGGTTGCCTGAAGTTCTCCAGGGAGATGAGGCGAGGGTATCCCAGGGCCCTCATCATCTCAGTCAGGTTCCGCAGGTCTTTAAAGGACATTTTATCTTTTCAGATCTCAAATTATTTTCAAAATTCCTTTAAAGTTCAATATTTCTAATTCATGTTAATGTTTAGACAATTTTGAAGCATTTTGTGCAATTAGGTTGGTCTATCTACACATTACTTGTAAACATGAAAATTGAAAAGAGATACAAAATAAATAAAGCAACACCGCAACAACCCCCCCCCCATCCCCACCTTCAAGCTACTTTCAAGGGGGTTAATTTTGCCCTCAAAATTATCAAATTATAGTTTAAGCCTAATCTGTCAGATTGATAAACCACTAACTCTGATAAGATCCCTAACCTTCTAAACTTGTGGTCTACAGCTTCCACTACAGGGGGACACATTAAATATGAGACTTAAGAGACGAAGAAACAAAGTTGTTCAGACTTATTTCCTAAACTAATCCTATGAGTTTACAATTATCTGTAAACTTATTTATTTTTTGACAAAACATGTAATATACCATTCAACGATTAAACTCAAAGATCTTAAGAGTTGCAGGTCGTCATTGAAGTCGCATTATCTGTTGTTAACCCTGTTAAAGGAATCTCAAGCAAATTATTTCCAAAATCTTGAGTTATTTGAATTTATATATACACATATACATATCTAAATTAACTGGAAACCTTAATATTTTCATCAAGTTTCTCATTCTTCATTCCTCTAATCCTTATCTTGGATATAAATCCGTTCTTAATCCTTCATTCCTCTAATCCTTATCTTGGATATAAATCCGTTCTTAATCCTTCATTCCTCTAATCCTTATCTTGGATATAAATCCGTTCTTAATCCTTCATTCCTCTAATCCTTATCTCGGATATAAATCCGTTCTTTATCCTTCATTCCTTTAATTCTTATCTTGGATATAAATCCGTTCTTTATCCTTCATTCCTCTAATCCTTATCTTGGATATAAATCCGTTCTTTATCCTTCATTCCTCTAATCCTTATCTTGGATATAAATCCGTTCTTTATCCTTCATTTTTCTAATCCTTATTTTGTTTATTAATCTGTTCTTTATCCTCAATTTCTCTAATCCTTATCTTGGATATTAATCCGTTCTTTATCCTTCATTTTTCTAATCCTTATCTTGGATATAAATCCGTTCTTTATCATTTATTCCTCCAATCCTTATCTTGGATATAAATCCGTTCTTTTTTCCTCAATTCCTCTAATCCTTATCTTGGATATTAATCCGTTCATTTATCCTTCATTCCTCAAATCCACTTATCCGTTCTTTTTATCTCAATTTGTTAATCCTAATCTTGGATCTTTATCTTTTTGGTTTGTATGCTTCCTTTGTCTAGACTGAATATCACTAAGCTCTTCTGAATATTAATTAATTAATTAATCCGTAGAGTTTGGCGAGGAATTAGCCAACTTTACTTAAGCCATATTCTTAGTCTGACACCAACTTTAGCAACTCATCAATTAAGGGATAAATGTTTTTCTCTAATACAAAAAATAGCACATTTTTAAGTTTGCCCTATTTCTCAATTTGATGTATTATACTTTTGGTTAAATGCTTTTTTAATTTTCGAAGAAACTTATTTCGCAGATATGTTCTTGATTTCACAGATCAATCTAAGTAAGTTTGCTAAGAAAATGAAGGAAAAGAAAACGTTAGATTGAGGAAAGACATGTAATGAACCTTGTATTCACAACTAAACTTTCGATAAAAAAAAATGTGTGTGTGTATAGAATAGTTTCTTGTTAATACTGGATTTGATTAAGGTTGTTGAAGAGCTGTATCTGTGTAGTTTCTAGTTCCTACCTGAGTTGCATACCAACAAATCAACCCGGAGCTTTCTAAACCTTTCCTGTACCTCATACATTCCACTCTCCTTCTGTATACCTTATATTTACTTGTTACCCTCCCCCCCTCTCATTTTCATGAACCCCCGTGTCAGTTTTGGATTCTATATCCAATACTTTTCTTTTTATGTTTTTATACAAATCATTTTTTTACCTTCTTTCTTTCCGAATTTTATTTAGTGCTAGCAGGTTCTCTTTCACAGGAACTTTGCCTCTAACTACAAGTTTCTAAGCCTTTGCCACCTAATTGTGTATCATATGACGGTTAAGTTTGCCTATATTCAAACCGATATTAGATTGCAAATAAATAGGAATTAGAAAATTAGAGTAAGTAATCTGTTGCATCTGAATTAATGATAAGAAGCGCAAAGAAAATTTCAACACTTTTATTTCTAATTTGAATCTAGACAGTATTAAAAGTAGCAGGGCGTAACTATACATTATTTTCTCGAATAAATTAAGTTGTTTATAACTATAGTAAATACAATGAAGGATTAAGGAAGTTGAATCTTCCTGTCAGCAATATCCAACCCACTGTCATACTCAAGTAACCATCAACCTTCCTCTCCCCCTCCCCTTGATCACTGTAAAGAATAATCAATCTCTACCACACTTATATCCCTCTCCCCCTCCTCTTCTACCGAATGGGTGCACACACATATATTCCACTGCTACTGATGGATTATCAATCCTTACTCCGTCTTCTTTTTCCTCCTGGCTTCAAATGGACTCTCTTAACATACGCACACTCACGAACACACACCCCGGTAATGTATGCAATGAAAAAACATTCATCTATGGCTGATGGGATAAACAGTGTTTAGAGTTAACCTCGGCCAGGATATTGAGGCCAGATCGAGGATATTATTTAGATGGGTAAAGAAGAGGTTTAGAGGAGGGTTGATAAATGGTTCTGTTTTCAACCAAATATCTTGAATATCTTACCTTGTCCTGAACCTAGGACTTTTACACACATATTCCAGTTGGAATATAAACCCAGGTTTTGTGCAGACATCATGATTCAGATTTATAAGAAATTATCAGCAGAATTTTTTAAAGACCCTTTCCAATAAACATGGGAATTCAGTGACGAATCTGTAATCTGTAATCTGCTATGTTCACATTTAGTTTTTTTTTATGTTTTGACTGCATACGGTTGTACTTAGTAAAACAAGAAAATTGCAGAATACAAACAGAGTAAACTTGTCCGTCTTCACTGTTTATCCATGCGGAGACGTTATAGACACACCTTTACAGTCATTCACCGTTTTCATAAAATAAACCCTAGCTGCAGACATAATAATATTATGGCTTTTGAAATTAGATATTACAATGCTAATTCATAACAAAGACGATATCGAATTGGTCACTGAATTCCCATGTTTTTTGGGACACCCTATATGTTGAAATCCATGTTTAGATTTCAAGAAAAACCAGAGCCCAAAGATTATTATCTTTCAGATAGAAGAATTCAATTACTGGGATTCATTAATGGCACTATGTAGACAAAGGGTTAATTAAATTAACTTGAAGTGTTACATACACGATTCACAACGGTACCCTTCAGCCTTTTATCGGATTAACAAGATGTGAATTCTCTCATTTTTCTTTCTTGTTTCTGCAGCAGCATATATCCACAAGTCATTTTTACAGAAATTAATAAATTTAATGACAGAAAAAACAACAAGGATAACTTTATTCATGGAACGAGCAGTTTCTCTTTAAATTGTGGGTCACAATCCCTTTTTAGAAAATATTAAAATATGTTGATGGGTTTCATAGATATTATATTTATTATCTAACAAACATGTTTGATTGATTGTACTCAGTTTGTCTAGCTTTAAAACCTTTTAAGATGTTTATTTTCAACCCTAAGAACATTTTTAGACTTTTTTATCTAATAAGGAACCGAAAGTTCTACATTTAGTATATACAGTACAGAAGAATCTCGGTATTTGTACAGTCTAGGAGAGTACATTTGTTTATTGCTAATTGTTTACTTAAAAATAAGTGTAATATACATGTAATACATTATTTATACATTTAAGTCAACACTATAAGCCAAACTTTCATGCAAAGAATATAATTTTATTAAAGTATACAATAAATTACTCGTTAAATTCAAGCTTAATTATAATTGACGACATTCTATGCACTTTCCTTGACTGTAGTCATGTTGTGTGTCTGAACCAAAAGAGTGTGCGATAAGGAACCTGGCTTTCTCATGCCAGACCAGCGCCATTTCCCTTTTCTTTATTCCCTGGTTTTGACGCTAATTCAATCCAAATAATATTTTGGAATTGGTCCATTAAAATTTTTTAGAATGAATTAGTTGAAAAACATCAGAAATTTTTATGTTTCAAAAAAATTGGCCTGTTAGGTAATAGCGTTAAAATAGAAAGAAAATAACCCTTGGTTTCCAAATTACTTTGTTTAGTTCATTTGTTTGTAGAAGAAGAAATAAACGTCCAAACAAATTGTAAAATATGGGTTAAACTGCATTTTCTTTTTCCTTTTGAGAATACCATGTGTTAAGAATCAATATCTTTGTGTAAAGAAGAAAAAAGGAATATACCGGATGAAGAAACTTTTAACCTTGTTCTTACTGACCTCTTCGTAACCCCCCCCCCCCCTCCCCCGGTTCTCTTCATATTTTCATGTGTATTAAAGATAAATTATTAATAATTAGGTGATTTTAAGATTTTCTGGAAACTTACCTTTTACCAAAGGCTTTCCGAAATGCTTAAAGGTTTTAATACAATGACCGGAAGTTGGTCTTAATAGAGATTTATGTTCGCAAAGAAAACCCAGGCACTTGGTCTAAAATCCAAGCTATAAAGGGATTGTAAAGGAAAAATGAAAGAGGGTATAGGCTGAAAGCTAATCACTTTAGCTCTTGATTGCGACCCATGAAAGTTATATCTGATGTTCATGTCTCGAGAAATTGAAGTACAATTTTGTATAGAAATGGTAGGTTTAAACAAATCATATTCAGGAAATGCGAAACCAATCTGAAAACAAAGATATCCCAGAGAAACCTATTTGTAACTAAGATTTTCTAATAATAATATTAATAAATAAGTCCGTATGACGTTATCATAACTCCCACCAATGGTAGTGCAGTATACTGCTCACGTGATAAAGACAGTATACTGCACTCTCATTGGTGGGAGTTCTGCTGCATATTTATGA